AGAATTATAAAAAAGAATATCGTTATTTTTGCATATGATGAACAAGGTTCTGTCTGGATTCCGACCCCCATCAGTCAAAAAAAAAAAAAAAATGTAACAATACATCTTATGCTAGCAATAAACATGGGAAAATGGCAATTTGTATGTGGTTTGTGACATAAAAAATGTGTACAAATAAGTTTTATGGTAGAGATAAAATAAACTATAAGGCTTAAAAACTAACTTAATAATATAGAAAAAGGGAGGTGATAGATATAGAAAAATATAAGGAAATAGGATTAGTAGAAAGCAGGATTCCCAGGCTCCATAGTAATCTTGGGTGTTATGCCAATTTTGTATTTCTTGGGAGGAAAAATGGTCTTCCATTGCCAATCTTGCCTTGGTAACTTGTATAGGCTCCTCTCTCTCTATTGTAACCACGATAGAGTTACCCTTTAAACTTTCCAATCCTCTTCTCATCTCCAGTTGATGCTGAACCATGACCTTTCACATCCTTTCCTATTGACCCCCCAAGCCAAGAGTTTCTCCACTCCTTAGCCCTTAGGGCCTCTTTCCTTTCTTTTTGTTCTAAGAATTGGTCATCACCACCCAGGGGGAAAGGGTTAGGAAAGAAAATTCTAGAAGAAATATAACAATAGAACAAAGAACAGTGAAGAAAACTACAACTAAACTTAAATTAATATATACAAAATATGGTGTACAGCCACAGTCCCTCCTTTCTTTGGATGAGTGGTATAGTGGCATTCAAATAGGAAAATTACATAATACAAGATTACTGGCCAGCACAAAATATGTTTTAAGTGGTTTTTGAGGGTGCTGAGTTTAAATATTTGGTCCACTTTTTGCGAAATTTGATTCATTGGCAGATTACCATTTCAGATTTGATATTCAGATGTGAATGATACAGTTTCTTAGAGATAGCATTAGAAAAAGTTATGATATCTTACAACATTTAAGATGAAATTGCACCATTTCGTACTACCTGAGAATCTCAAAAAAATATGACAATACTGGATTAAAATAACCAAACTCTTTATATGGTTTTTGTTTTAATGTTTATTATATTATGGTATTTGATTTATATAACTACAAAGATTATCTTATGTTAGGGTTTATCATACCAAGTGACCAATATAATATATTTTTCAAATTCTTTCTTCCTCTGGTAAAAATATATGGCCAGGATTACAAAAAACATACACAAGACAATACATACAAATGTGTCTTTATTCCAATCCAGTCCTTTCAAATTCACATCCTGGCCATATATTTTTACCAAAAGTATATTTTTAATTTTATATGAAGTGCTATCACCAGAGAGATATTTTAACTATTAATATAAATTTAATTTTTAACATACTGGAAATTTTATACTGTATTTTTGCAGAGTGGCCAGCATGCCACATAAAAATGGTTATGTGGACAAGCATTCTGGAAACCCCAGGGTTACCAGCACTCCAGTTAAACTGCAACTAAAATATAAAATCAATCAGATCTAACAAAACTAGTTGTTAATTAAATGTTAAAGAAAACATTCTTTTGAGTACAATAAAATAAAACATTGTAATTTGACTGACTTAAAATCAGGAAGAGTTTTCGTTTACAAGACAAGAAAACAATTAATGACTTATTGACATTAGTCATAGTAGTAGTTAGTCAGTGTGGGTTGACCATTAAACCTGACCTTAAAAATAACACTTTTCTCTCAAATTTTACACAAAACGGATGTTAATTGGTGTAAGCTGAGATAATTTACTGCAAGTTTCTAAAATTTAATATGTTTATTTTTGCATTTTTGAATCAAATAAAAATAAAATATGCATAAAAAAGTACTTTTGGAATTCCATGAGTACTTTATGTCATTAGAAAAAAGACTAAACAAAGAAATTAAACATATAAGAGTAGTTTTTGTTATAATGCTAACAGTTTCACAGTTTTTAGAATAAAAACTCTTTTGTTTTTATGTGACATAACTTGTTCATTTTTTTTAATGTGTCCTCTAGAGATGGATGTATAACCTCACTTTGCACATTTGCATATTTGCGTGTTGTTCTTCCACAGACATTTTCACCAGACTTTGTTTCACGACATTTCACTAACACACAACCTTCAATGAATGTTAACTGTTGTCATCTTTACAGCGAGTACAGACTTGTTTGAACACATTTTTCTATTCATGACATGTTTAACTAAGACATGCTAAAGGCAATGAAAAAGGGAATGTGCATTACATGTTCCCTTTTTTCATTGCCTTTAATTGACTAACCCAGCATAACTCTGGGAACTTTTTGAAGTTACCTTNAATATTAATTTATTGGGCTACAATTTTAAAATTGCCCACCTATAAATAACCATTGGTGTCTGTCTGTCTTTCCTTAATCTTGTGAACAGAGTTAGATAGATGAAAGTTGAGACCATTTATAGAAATTTGGAAGCTGGAGACTCTGAATAACTATATATGAACTTTCAGTTTTGACTGAAAGTCATGTTGTTTCAATTCAAAAATTTTCTCCAGAAGAGAGTTAGATAGATGATGGCATAATTCTCTTGTTAACAGAAAAAGTGTGATTTACAGGGGCAAGACACTACTGAATTGCATTGTGCATCAAGATATAAAAAATTGCAGCCCAGCATTGTGATGATGTCACAATAAATAATTGTTTGTTTGTTTATATTTAACTACATACACAAACCTGTTACCAATGTGAAACTCAAATAAAAATGAACATACAGTTCCTCATAAATGTTTTTGAACCATAAACAGTTCTTCTTCAGGTGAACAGCAAAATTTCCAATGGAATACAAGTGCAATGTTAACTTTACCCCGGTGTTGGTTAAGGTTGTTTATATTTATTAAACTTATCAAGAGATGTCACCTAATGTTTAACTCTGGACAAAATTACTTAATGTTTAATTATTAAATAGTAGCCATATTATAGCCTGATATAATCCGGCAGATTGTTTGGCCTTAATCAAAAATTAGGTTATTGGATGTTTACATTTGAAGTTTGAAAGGATGAAAACAGTAGCTGTGATACTTAACCATTTTTGTGAACATTGCGATGGTTCTTACTACATATATCTTTGTGAGAAATTTCTGACTGCCAGTTCCACTCAGAATTGAAGAAATCAAGAGTAAGAAAATGTGTCTAAATTATCTACGAATAGGAAACTTCACAAGAGCATGTAAGTTACCCCATTGTCTAAAATGTAACAAGCTGACAATATGTTGCTTCATTTAGAAACTATACAGAGAAGTTGAGAAATTGGCTAACAAAGAAATGAAATAAAGTATACATTTAACAATGTAATGCAAACAACAAAGTTTGTGAAGAATCCAACAGAAGAAAATGTATTTACATTTATGTACATAGAAGAAAACAATGCTGTCTACTTGGCTGGTCAGTGTCAAGGATACAATTTTCAATTAGTTCATGTCTTCCTTGCTGGAAAAGTCATTATCACTGTTGCTGATGATTTTCCAATGATGTTTCACTAATGGTGCTAATGATGGTGGTTGAATCATCTCAATTCTTTTGTCAAAGCAGCTGTTGGCCCACCAGCATGGGCATAGCAAGGGGGGAGCCTGGGTGGGCACGGCCCTCCCCAGTGAACCTGGTGCCCCCCAGAAAATCACAGCCGAAAAAGTGTTAAGCTGATTTGGAAACAACAAAAAACTTAAAGCTAAAAATTTTGAATACTAATAAAAAAAAAAAAGATCCACTGTGCCCAATGTTATGAATAATTTGAAATAATTCAATTTTGTGTTAGGTTGGCCTCTACTAGGCCCCCCACAACAAAACTCTGGCTACGCCCATGCCCACCAGTGGCCAAGTGGTTCTGTTCCCTGAACACTGGTAGTTCAATCGTGAGTTTGCACCTTACCAGAATGTGGCCATGTGGAGTTTTCTGAGTTTTATCCACATCTGTAATACCTGAATAGGAGCCAGTTACTCTTAAAAAGACCTCACGGAAGGCATCCTCTAGGCAGATTGCCCAAGTGTTCTGTTGCTGTAACCTAACAAAACATACAAACAGAACAGCTGTCTCTCCACTTGAGAACTTTTTTGTATTTTTGATGAAGAAGCACATTTCCTTCCAAAGTTTTTTGTCTCTGAAAATGTCCACTTTTTTTGGTGGTCAGCTGTAACCACCTATTACACACTTTCTTTCGAATTGTCCACAGAATTGTTCATACCTGGAGCATCCAAATAAAAATAAAAACTGTTCTACATTGTCCTCACATTCTGTGTTGATCAGGCAGTTCTTGCTGTTTGTCTTCTTGAAATAGTACAAGTAAAAATCAAAATTCCCATAAATTGGATAATCTCAAAGTTGGTTTTGAATTGTCAATAGATGGAATGATCTACCAATTTACTACAGTTCAGCAAATTCAAAGTGCTCTTTAATATTTAAAACTAATTTTAATGTGTTGTGAAGTCCTAAATACTGTTTAATTGTTGTATGTTGAGAAATTTCCTTGTTTTATCATTGTATTGTTAATAACAACCTTGTAATTTGTAGTGTATCAGCATTGTATGTAAATTCATTGTATCAGTTCATTATATCTAAGTTGAAAGATAATCTTTCAAGGTGGCCAGAATATTATGAATTGTGCATGTACAGTACATGTTTGAATCAGTGTTCTAAGGAATACAATTTTTTTAGAATTAATTCAAATGAGCATTCAAATTCTTTTTTGTTGTTTTTTTCCTTCTTTTGGAACATTTGTCAATTATTTGTGTGTTAAGTTTATTTTCATATTAACTAATATTAAAATAAATCAATTACAGATTTGTTTTCTATTTGTGATTAGAATTGATTTATTCTAGATACAATTGCTCATAAAAATTACTAAATCACTAACACATACTTAATTTTAGTTTATAAATTCTAATAAAGTAATGTTGACTTTTATTTTTTACCATAATTTTGGAATTTGTCTTGATTTTATATTATGGTATAAAGTTTTTACATGATTAATTTTTTTAAATTTACAGAAACCAGGTGACTGTTTATGTAAAAAAGGATATGCTGGAAATAAATGTGATCATTGTGATGTTGGTTATACAAATTTTCCTGAATGTAAACCATGTCCTTGTCACACTGCTGGAACCATTGATGGAAATACATGTGAAGGAAAATGCATTTGTAAGGTGAGATTAGATTTTTACTAATTCTAGAAGTTTGATTATGGAAAAGCTATTTCGAATTGTTCAAACTGTATGATATGACTTCTTGTGAATTGTGAATAGTTTATAATACTTACATTCAATTACTTACAATAGTTTTCTAACATAGTTAATTTGCCCCTGTCATTGCATAGTATTCTGTGTAAAAGTAGCTGTGGTTTTATTGGAAGGTTAAATCTTGATTTTTGAAATTTTCTGGTGATGTGAAAGGGCACAGACCCATGATATGGGATGAGGGGCTTATATAAATGCAATCCTTTTTTATTATTTATATAAATGGTGGGAAATGTGTAGGGCAGGATATACTCACATACAAAATTCAAGTGTATTCAGGTATGAATACACTTGAATTTTGTAAGTATTGTTATGTTTATTGTGAAAAGGTTCCAACCAAAGTGAGCGCTCAGGTGCCGTTCCCGTGATGCATCACAACGATCGCCACCTGGCGGACTCACTAATATTTTACATTTTAATACAATACATATTACAAGTATAACCTGCCATATTAATAAATTGTAATTCTTTTTGTACCAAATGTTGTAATGATAGTAATATATAGGTTCTACAAATACTAGGTATAACAGCTAATAATGTGGAGTTTAGTTCAATAGCTGGCATTACAGATAAGTTGATATATATCCAATTTGATATGTATGCCATTTTGTTGTATTGACAACAAGCTTTAAAACTTTATATGTCAAATTTTTTGAAGGTCTTAACATCATGGATATTTTTACACTTAAATGTTTTGAATTTTGTCCCGAAAAAGAACATTTGCAGGAAGTTTTAATTCATTACTTTATTTTGAAGAAAAGTGCTGCTGAAAGTTATTGTATACTTCAGGAAGCTTATGGTAAACATCTCAAGATACTTCAAGGCCAAACCACTTTGGAAAGAAGACAATGCTTTGTGTTTTGTGGGATTAGGAAGGTTTTGTGTATTGTGAGCTTCTAAAAAGGTGAAACAGTTAATACTGATTGTTATCAACAACAAATAATCAATTTGAACTGCTTTTTGATTGTAAAATGACCAGAATGGATCACAAGACATGGCAAAGTAATTTTGCTTCATGATAATGTACTACCATCACACACTTTGGAACCAGTTAAAGACATGTTAAAAGATTTTGCCTGGGAAGTATTAACCCACCCACTGTACTCACCAAACTCTACTCCTTCTGATTTCCATTTTTTCTGATCGATGGCACATGCACTTTCTGAGCAGCACTTCAAAACATACAAAGAAGTGAAAAAATGGGTCTCTGAATGGTTTGCCTCAAAAAAAAATATTGGACAGTATCCACAAATTACCTGAAAGATGAGGGAAATGTGTAGCTAGCAATGGACATTACTTTGAATAAAGCACTTTTGATGTTTCTTTTGAAATTATCATGTTTTCTTTGATTAAAAAAATCTACACTATTAACTAGTACACCTGGTAAGTGCAGCGCAGCTATTATATTGTTTATGTAGCCAGGCAGTTGGAATGAAGTAGCCAGTATGATGTGAGGATATAGATTAAACTTCTGATATACACTGAAATAGACTCATTCAAGAATACATTGAGGAAGGTTATTGAAAATGATCAAAAATGTTTTAATTATTAAAGTATTACTGCATTTTAAGGTTGTTTGGGTATGTTTGATTTGAGATTGTTAACTAAGTTAATTGAAGTATATCTTGATTGTAAATGAAATAGTTTATATAAAAATGATCTGTTATCTGTGAGCTATTTCTTTATTTATATACTTCGTTCATAATAATATTTTTTCAAGTATTATATTTGCAAAATTATGTGTAAATGCTACGAACCTGTTTACAAATTTAATATTTTAATTAAAAAAACTAAATTACATTATTTTTTGTAATTTTAATTACATTTATTTTTAAACACAAAAAAAATTTGTGTATAATTCAATTTTTTTTTTTTTTGTAGAAAAATGTTGAAGGTGAACGATGTGATTCCTGTAAACCTGGATTTTATAATTTAGATGTTAATAATCCTGATGGCTGCTCAAAATGTTTTTGTTCTGGTGTGACCCACATCTGTGAATCAAATGATTGGGGAATAGAAATAGTATGATAAATTTAAATGTTTTTATATTTAATTAATTAGTTTATCATAATATTCTTTTTAAATTATATTTTGTAGACAAAAATATTTTATGTTATACTTAGTATTAGAGAATAACATTTGCTTTGTATAGAAAACATAACTAATATAAATTTAATTTTCAACATACTGGAAATTTTATACTGTATTTTTGCAGAGTGGCCAGCATGCCACATAAAAATGGTTATGTGGACAAGCATTCTGGAAACCCCAGGGTTACCAGCACTCCAGTTAAACTGCAACTAAAATATAAAATCAATCAGATCTAACAAAACTAGTTGTTAATTAAATGTTAAAGAAAACATTCTTTTGAGTACAATAAAATAAAACATTGTAATTTGACTGACTTAAAATCAGGAAGAGTTTTCGTTTACAAGACAAGAAAACAATTAATGACTTATTGACATTAGTCATAGTAGTAGTTAGTCAGTGTGGGTTGACCATTAAACCTGACCTTAAAAATAACACTTTTCTCTCAAATTTTACACAAAACGGATGTTAATTGGTGTAAGCTGAGATAATTTACTGCAAGTTTCTAAAATTTAATATGTTTATTTTTGCATTTTTGAATCAAATAAAAATAAAATATGCATAAAAAAGTACTTTTGGAATTCCATGAGTACTTTATGTCATTAGAAAAAAGACTAAACAAAGAAATTAAACATATAAGAGTAGTTTTTGTTATAATGCTAACAGTTTCACAGTTTTTAGAATAAAAACTCTTTTGTTTTTATGTGACATAACTTGTTCATTTTTTTTAATGTGTCCTCTAGAGATGGATGTATAACCTCACTTTGCACATTTGCATATTTGCGTGTTGTTCTTCCACAGACATTTTCACCAGACTTTGTTTCACGACATTTCACTAACACACAACCTTCAATGAATGTTAACTGTTGTCATCTTTACAGCGAGTACAGACTTGTTTGAACACATTTTTCTATTCATGACATGTTTAACTAAGACATGCTAAAGGCAATGAAAAAGGGAATGTGCATTACATGTTCCCTTTTTTCATTGCCTTTAATTGACTAACCCAGCATAACTCTGGGAACTTTTTGAAGTTACCTTGTGTATATATATAATTATAATTATAAAAATATATAATTAAAATTGATTTGCTTACTTTTTAATAGGTACGCCAAATGGAAGATTGGATAATAACAGATTTATTACAAAAAATTATTTATCCTGCTATTCCTGAAAATGGAGTTTTAAAAATACAAACTTTACATTTACCAGAAAACATTGAACTATTTTGGCAAGCACCTATATATTATCTTGGTAAAAAGGTTAGTTACATATAAATGATATTAAAAGTATATATTTTATATCTTTGTTGTAGTTTTCTATTATATTTTTATTTTTTCATTTATACCAGTGTTTCTCAACCTGTAACGAATCTTTGCCCCCTTCAACGTAGTATCACCCTTTCAATAAAATCGTTATGTAGTATCGTCCCCTTTACTTCAAAATTCCAATGCCGAGGGCCAAGGCTAATGCCAAATTCGTACTGCATTAAATAGACTAGTGACTAGTATAATGTTATTTGTTTAATTATTCTACGATATAACAAATAAAATATCTATTTATTCTTAATATAATGTTTTACTATATCACCAGAAAATTGTTTTTCGCCCCCCCAAAATATAAATTGTTACTAATCACCCCCTCAACATGGAAAATCGCCCACATGGGGGCAATATTGCCCCCATTGAGAAACACTGATTTATACTGAGTGATTGTAATTAAAATACAGTTGACTTCCCTATAACGTGGTAGATACGTTTCACTTTATAAGAATTTCACGTTGTAGGAATCCTTAAATACATGAGTCAATCACAGCCCGGCACATGTGCAGTTTAGGGACCACGGCTGTTTGAAAGGTTTTCTTCCATAAAATTAATCGATTCTAGACTAATTTGACTCAACATTTCCAAAACACGTATAATTTTTTGGGAATAATCCGTATAAATTATGCTATAAACAAAAAATTGTAGGATTACTTACCGAGCGTGCCATTGCTTAAGCTTGTTTTTGTCGCGGAGCAGCGCACCAAACGGTGGGTGCGTTTTCTGATAAGTTATTTTTCTGTGAAAAATTTGTTGAACTTTGGAGACATCATTAATAGAAATAATTTTTATGGCCATTGAATAAGAAATGTTTTTTTCACAAAAAATGTATAAAATTACATTACTGTATTAGACTTACAGTACCTAATTTATATACTGTACAGATGATAGTAAACTCAATTTACCCATCTAAACTCTCCATAGCATGTAAGTAGTTTGGCTGCTCATCCACTATTGGTCCAGATTTGACCAATCCTGTCACGACACGAGTCAGCGATGACATTTTACCGCATTTTATGAGTCTCTTTTAGCGTCTTTATATGAATACGGTCGCAATTTTTTTGCTGTGATATATGAATCCGCATTATATGAACTCACGTTATAGGGAGGTTGACTGTACTCATATACAACATTGTTTGCAGAGATATTTAACTGCCTAAATGCACCCAAATGTATATGGTGGTAAGGAGTTTCTTTTTGTTGGGAATTACTTGTAGTTTTTTTTTTTTTTTTGATTTTTGGGGCACTTTATTTCATTAAGGATAGACCACCCACCTCACTCAGACAAAACTCTAAAACTAAAAACAAAACTCGCCTTACTCAGAGAACTGCCAAGGGCAAATGAAATATGTCATCAATCTGGAAATGACATCTCGGGGGAGACTTCAAAAGAAAAGTTAAAAGAATGATCTCATATCCCAAATTGTCGCTGAAAATTGCTCTTGATGTCTTGCCAATCAGTTTCTCCATGCAATCTCCTATGGCACATTATTTTGAAAAGCCCTTTATATGTGTAATATACATTTATATAACTCTGTCAAAACTTTATCAGTGGCTTTCAAATATTTCTGTAAATTTCATTTACTTAAATCCTTAACAGAATAATTTTTATCAAATTTATTAACATATAACTAAACATTGGTGTGTAATATGAATATATACTGTATAATAATATAATAAACATTTTTTAATATTTAAAAAATTTTATGTAAGAAATGAAATGAAATTATTATTATTATTAAATAATTAAAAGAATTTTTGAAATATAAAAATATCAAATTAATTTTGAGAATTATTTCATTATATATTTATTAAAAATTTTTTATTGATATATTTTTATTTTTATCAAGTAGCTGTATTCGTATGGCGGAGAATTACGTATAGCCCTTAAATATCATATACCAAAAAATAAAATATATGGATCATTTATTGAAGGACCGGGAGTTATTTTAGAGGTAAAAATAAAATTTTATTATAAAAATTTTAAGTTTTAAAAAAGTTGTCTATTTTTTACAAATTCTTAATTTAATTAAATTTATAATAATTTATTCTTACAGCACTTTTAAATATAGTTATTTACATTAAATTGTATTTTAATAATAATAGTCCCGATTATCAAATGTTTAATTTTATCTGAAAGAGCAAAAGTCTTTTTTAGTCCAAGGGTTTCTGCATTTGGGACAGAAATTTGAAAATGTTTTGCCATCTTTTTCATAAACATTAATTAAACATAATTTTTTACAATTAATATGTTATTGAAAAATTTATAAATTATTTTTCCAGTATTTGTACTAAAACATTTCCAGTTATTTTAATAATGAAATTTAATTCTATGTCAATGGTGTCTTTTGTGAAAAAATATTTCAATTTTGTCTTATTAATATTAAGATTAGTCAAATGAAAACAAGACAGGATAGTATAGAAAAATGGCAGAAATTAGATAATTGTGTAGAAGAGATGAACATATGATGAATCTTTATACAAATACACATTTTTTGTTTAAAATTCAATCTGTCATTTGTCAATCTGTATAGTCAATCTGTATCATTGTTTACATTAATATAATCCAAGTAGTTTGTATTCAAGTAATTGTATTGATATAGTCTAAATGACAATATAATAATTCCATATTATGGATTCATTATGGAAAACTGTATATATTATGAACTCTCATTTGATTGTATAAATCTAATACAATTACTTATTTGCAATTTACAAAGATTGTAAATTCAAGTGAAGTTTTAGAATATTTGATCATTTCATCTATAATAAGCTTGAATAACATCATATTTCATTTAAATAAAATTTTAAAAATTATAAAATTTTGTTGCAAAAACTACTATATTTATTTCTATTATTGGATTCACAACATTTTTATTTTATTATAGTTTCATTAATTTGTAAAATGAAATATTACTATTTAATATCTCCTTGAACATGTCAATAAAACACAATGCATTATGATAGCAACTGAAGTATAATTAATTAATCTAAAATTTAAAATAATATAAATAAGTAAATATAATTTTAAATGAAATTTTCTTTTACTACTACATAAATTTTGTAACTATATTTAAAAAATTAATTTATTGGTATATAAAATCTACTATTATTGTTATTACACCTCATATTATCATTACTACTAATGTTTGTTAAATAGAAAATATTTAAAACTATTAAACATATTTAAAGTACAGTACTTGTGATTTAATAAATTTTTAATAATTAAAAATTTATTAAATTACAAGTACACACTCTAAAAAGGATATACAATTTGAACAACAAAATTTCTAAAATGAAGCATTATTCTCTTTTTAGAACAGTTTGTAACCTGACAATTAGGGTTTCTCATTTCCCGGGAAATTTGTCTCCAGTGGGATTACAGGAAAAATAATTTCTTTTCCCGGGATCCCGGGAAATTCCGGGATGAGATAGTAAAATAGAATTTTATATGAATAAAAAAGATCATACAGAAATATCATATATTTGAATAATTTAATTTATTTTCTAGTAAGTAACTAAAGGTGTAGGGCCAATCTCACCCATACGGACACGTTAGGCTCAATTAATTTATGTTCTCCTACATTATAAGATGAAAGTAAAATAAAGCGTTTCATTGGGAGTTTTAATGATTACGAAAAAAAATACCATTTTATTTCTAAAGATAAAATAAAAAATAAACTAAAGTGCGATGAGTGATTTTTACTTTCAGCGAGTGCTCCGCTGTTCAATGGTGCGCAAACACAATACATAGATATTACATGAACTAACAAGTAGAAACTTGTAAAACATAGGTAATAATATGCAACATGAAACCTCAAAATTTCTCTCTTAGGTGAGTCTTCAAGATGCAACTTTTCGTATAATAAATAATAGAAAGAAAACCTGACGTGATAAATTATTATTGAAACGCGAGATTTCCTGGGAAATTTTATTTTTCCGGGATTTTTCTCGTAGGGAATAAACGGCGGGAATCCTGGGAAAACGGGATTCTGGGATCCCGGGAAAGAAACCCTACTGATAATGATTGCTAAAAGCTGTTGAAAACATTAGTTTCTCATTAATTTTTATGTTTCTTTGGCTGCATTTTTTATTTTTTTTTTGTTTGTGTTATACTTTATTTGTGTTTGTGAAATTTAATTTGTAATAATAATTTATGACATATATTTTTGATTTATGGCATTTATTATAGAGCAGAAGACAGAGAATTGCTTATTCATTGAAACCTCAACCAGAAGGTGAAACTTTTACTTTAATAATACCATTGACTGATAAAGGATGGCGCTATTTTAAGAAATCTGGTAAACTTGGTCGAAAAGTCGGACGTAAAGTATTTCTGATGATCTTAAATGACCTTACTAGATTGCTTATTAGAATGAGATTTCATACAGATCAAACAGAAGGAATGTAAGACTATTTTAATATATATTCTTTTTCAATTTTAATTTAATTGATTAAGTGATTGAGTTTAAGGGAGAGAATTATAATATTAATTTTGCTTACTTGGGTCTCTATATTTATGAGATCTGTATTCATGGATTATTTTGCAATGGTACTCTTGACATTTATCACATTAAAAAGTTGACTGCTACACATTGTATTTATGGGTAATGTATGATGATGGGACTTGTTTATCTTCATTCTTGCAGTGAGCATCATCTTGATAGGATGGCTTGTGACCTTTGTGTGTTATGTATGCCTGGTAAATACCTTTGTGTGTACCACATGAAGTTTTCCAGGGCTTCTTCATGTTAGTAACACCTAAATAGGGACCAGATTCACATAAAAATCTTCCTGGAATGCATCCCCTCAACAGATTGCTTGGTGTGACATTGCTGTAACCAAATAAAGCAAACTAATTCTATTAATTTTTTATAAACATGATATTTACAAGAATACTTCCTATGCAGTTTATACACTCTGTTGCAAAATATAAACACTTTATTATCACATAAAAGCAATTCTTTTGGTATTTTTACAAGATTTTTTTATTTAAACAAGTTATATGAAGTATTTTGAATGCTAAGGTTAGCAACTTCGATCACATGCGGGGCCATCATGATCTATCCAACACAGATCACTTGTCAAATGTAGGCCAGTATTAATTAGTTGTCATTGACCATTCTCTCAATTCTCTTGTCCAAGAGGAGTTCAACAACTACATTTGATTGAATTACTTCAATCCCCTTTTGCAACAGTCTGTAATGTATACACAAAAGTACATACCAAGGAAAGGAACATACAAAAATACATAAAAAAGAATTATAAAAAAGAATATCGTTATTTTTGCATATGATGAACAAGGTTCTGTCTGGATTCCGACCCCCATCAGTCAAAAAAAAAAAAAAAATGTAACAATACATCTTATGCTAGCAATAAACATGGGAAAATGGCAATTTGTATGTGGTTTGTGACATAAAAAATGTGTACAAATAAGTTTTATGGTAGAGATAAAATAAACTATAAGGCTTAAAAACTAACTTAATAATATAGAAAAAGGGAGGTGATAGATATAGAAAAATATAAGGAAATAGGATTAGTAGAAAGCAGGATTCCCAGGCTCCATAGTAATCTTGGGTGTTATGCCAATTTTGTATTTCTTGGGAGGAAAAATGGTCTTCCATTGCCAATCTTGCCTTGGTAACTTGTATAGGCTCCTCTCTCTCTATTGTAACCACGATAGAGTTACCCTTTAAACTTTCCAATCCTCTTCTCATCTCCAGTTGATGCTGAACCATGACCTTTCACATCCTTTCCTATTGACCCCCCAAGCCAAGAGTTTCTCCACTCCTTAGCCCTTAGGGCCTCTTTCCTTTCTTTTTGTTCTAAGAATTGGTCATCACCACCCAGGGGGAAAGGGTTAGGAAAGAAAATTCTAGAAGAAATATAACAATAGAACAAAGAACAGTGAAGAAAACTACAACTAAACTTAAATTAATATATACAAAATATGGTGTACAGCCACAGTCCCTCCTTTCTTTGGATGAGTGGTATAGTGGCATTCAAATAGGAAAATTACATAATACAAGATTACTGGCCAGCACAAAATATGTTTTAAGTGGTTTTTGAGGGTGCTGAGTTTAAATATTTGGTCCACTTTTTGCGAAATTTGATTCATTGGCAGATTACCATTTCAGATTTGATATTCAGATGTGAATGATACAGTTTCTTAGAGATAGCATTAGAAAAAGTTATGATATCTTACAACATTTAAGATGAAATTGCACCATTTCGTACTACCTGAGAATCTCAAAAAAATATGACAATACTGGATTAAAATAACCAAACTCTTTATATGGTTTTTGTTTTAATGTTTATTATATTATGGTATTTGATTTATATAACTACAAAGATTATCTTATGTTAGGGTTTATCATACCAAGTGACCAATATAATATATTTTTCAAATTCTTTCTTCCTCTGGTAAAAATATATGGCCAGGATTACAAAAAACATACACAAGACAATACATACAAATGTGTCTTTATTCCAATCCAGTCCTTTCAAATTCATAGTCTTAAAAGAATCTTTTTAAAGATTTTTTTGTAATGATTAATTCATCCTGGCCATATATTTTTACCAAAAGTATATTTTTAATTTTATATGAAGTGCTATCACCAGAGAGATATTTTAACTATTTTACATTTAGAGGTGGATGAGCATCTTATAAAGAAAAGTCAACTCCGCCGTGAAATTGTTAATTCCTGAAATGTGCGTTTGAAAAGACTGGATTGGAATAGACACATTTGTATGTATTGTCTTAGAAGAATCTTTTTAAAGATTTCTTTTTGTAATGATTTCTTCCTCTATTGCACACAATTTAAAGAATTTTTAAAATTTGTTAGATTGATCACTTGGTATGGTAAACCCTTACATAAGATAACCTTTGTAATTATATAAATCAAACACTACAATATAATATAATAGAAAGGTTAGAAGTGCGAAAGAATCTTTAATAATTTTAATCTTTGTTGTTATTTTTTGCCTGGACAATGCTGGGCTTATCTGCTAGTATTTATATATAATGAGTCAGTTTTTAGTATGGCAGATTTGAAAAAAATATTAAAAAATTGTATATTTATTGATTCCTTTACACCAGTGATTTCCAAACTTTTTCGATCCACCTCCTCCTTTGTTCCATAAAGTTATACCCAATGCCCCCTAACCCATTTTCTATTGTGTGAGAAAGGATTGAAAATATTCTTAGGAAAACTTTTCTACAAGTCTCACACTTTGTGCCCTTACCGTACATTGTTCTCAACATCTGGAAACCGTTAAACGCAATATTTCTTCTTATCAGTTTAACAGAGGAAAGGGAACGGTTTTCAGTGACCCTAATTTTGCCTTTGGTCACCGTTCAATACACTGCCTTCAGCGCCCCCTAGATTTACTCATTGCCCACAAGGGGGCGTTATTGCCCACTTTGAGAAATGCTGCTTTACACAATATAGAATACATATATTATTACACTTTACTGTAATTGTGATGAAAAACTAATTATTTTTGTACAAATATGAAATAAAATGCATTATTTTTAATATTAACTATCATTGTATTTTAAGAAGAAATTTTTTCTAGATTGGTGAGTGTTGAAATGGAAGTTGCAACAGAGTATTCAAGTAATTTTAAGAAACTGAAATCAGTAGAAAAGTGTCAATGTCCACCAAATTTTGCAGGATTGTCATGTGAGGTATTAATTTATATGCATTATTGTAACTCTTTTATGCTGACTTTTAAAAAATCACAAAGTAATTCAAATAAATTTATTTATATTGAATGTTTAATGGAATTTTAGATACATTTATTTACTATTTATTTTTAAAGTTACTAATTTACTTATTTTTTAAATTACAAATTTTTTAGTAACTTTGTTAACTTCAAATTACTTATATTTTTAATGTAAATCTTTTAACTTACCTTTAATTTTTATTTTTAAGATAACTTTCTCATTAAATAAAATAGGATTTTTATAATTCTTTTAATTTGGTTGTTTGGTTTGTGAGATTGACCAGAAAGATCTCTGAAATGATAAAAAACAAAAAATGAAGTTTTGAGAAAATATTATTTCCTAACACAAGTAACTGAATTAGTTATCTTAAATTGACTCTCATTTTTAAAAATGCTTTATTAAAATGAAAGATTTTATTTTTGATTTATCTTGAATTAAGGGATTTAAGCATTTTGTTTCAATAAGAAATTAAAAAATTTTTAATTAATATGTCATCTTAATGTCTCAATATTATGTCCTTTGAAATCATATTTCAGGTATGACAAATACTACTTTATCTGAAAATATGATATATATTTGCAAAGTTATAGTTAAATATTGTTAATTTGTAAAACATATTTTGTTAATTGTAAAAATGATCAATAAATCAAAATAACATTAAATTGTTCAAAATATTTCTAGCAGAGTAGTAATATTTTTTTTCCAGTACAATTTCTGCAAATAGATTTTAATTTACAAGAAAATAAAAGTTTTTGTTTATTCATTAATTTGATGTTTTGTTTATTAAATATAGAATTAAGGAAGATAACAACATATACATCAACCCAATTTAATTATTAATTCCAAAAAAACTGCTGGATTATTAATTGGGATATAACAAGCCTAATTTAACAATTAGATGTAAAGCAATTTGGCTATAGATTAGCAGTTAGGCTGCCATCTAATGATAAATTTAATAATTAGAAATAAATTTAGTTTAGTAATTATTCTGGAAGCAAAGATCAGATAGATGGAGATCCAGATAGCATAACTGGCAACTCATCTGCATGATAAGCAGAAGTTGTGGGTTTTAGTCCCATTCCAGACTGATCTTTTCTTTCAGAATATTCTAAATTTAAATTAAAAATTAAATTTATTTCTAATTATTAAAGTTATCATAAGATGCTGATCTAACTGTTTACGTTTAATCAAATTATTTTACTTCTAATGATTAAATTGGCCATTTAATAATCCCACTGTTTATTTGCAATTAAGAAGTATGAAACATTTAAGAGACTGCAAAGAATCTAGATAAGAAACATAAATTTTTAACTTAGCACTATAATAAATGCAACAAATTGTAACTTGTCAAGTTTTATAAGAAAAACATTTTCAAGAATTTTTCCTAAAATTCTCTTTTTTATTATATATTATTAACTTACAAAACTGTGAATTTTCTCAATTCTTTACTTTTTTAATTATAATCTTGAGAATGAATGTAAAAATACTTGAGTGCAGCTATTTCTGTATTGATTTTTTATTCTGAAAAAACAATTTTATTGTTTCAATTAAGAGTTTAACATGGCTTTTATTAAGTTTAATATCTTGAGAAATGTTTGCTAATTTTTTACTGAAACAAGGTATTTCTTGCTGAATGATTAATCTAATAATTCTTGATATTTGTATTTTTAAGTATAACCAATTAGGATTAGAGTGATTTGAATTTATGTTATTTTAGTACTGTGATCCAGGATTTAGAAGAGTTAATAATACAATATTTATGGGAAAATGTCAGCAATGCAATTGCAATAATCATGCTGAAACTTGTGACTATTTTACTGGGAAATGCAAGGTATGATTTAATAAATCAATAATTGAAATTATTAATAGCATGTTTATGTTTTAAGAAATTAAATAGTGCTACATTAGATTAAGAGGAAAAATTACTGTAATTTATTGCATATAACCTACAAGGTCATCCATGTTTTAAGTCATTTTGAAAGTTATGTGAGTGAAAATAAAGAAAGGGGAAAGATTTACAATATATAATTTTATAATATGATGAACATGTAAATATCCTTTAAAAGTCCTTCAGAAATATTTGTTGCAGGTATACCTCTTATTCTTGGATTAAGCTTGCAGTGAGTTGTAGAGGTTTTATCAGAGGATCACAAGTTTACATCAGAGGATCTCTTCCAATTCTCCAGATTTCCAGTTGTGAACTACTTTTTTTGACACACTATCTCCCTTTTACTCAACTCATCTTTTATTCAAGTTGGATGTTCTGACCAATCAAAAATTCAGAGTTCCACCACATGATGAGAATCTTGTTGTTTGTGATTGGTGGCTGTTCTAAACACAAAGGATATCAATAGACAAATTCACTTCTACATGTATATGTTTTTATAATGTTGTTTACATATCCATTAGTCTTCTAACAACAATTCAAAGCTGTTGGTTTTTTTAAGCTAGGCTTACAGTGATTAAAACATTTGACAGTCATGATTCTGACAATATGCTCTAGCAGTTTTTCTGGTTATATGCAGGAATTTACAGTAATAGTTTTCAGCTCATTAGTAGGAAAACAGTTTTATGAGATCCTAAAGACAACATTTATGAATTATATTTTAATTAATTTATATATATATATATAAATTAATTAATTATGTTATATTAAACATATTATTATTGTAATTATTACTAATATATAATTAATATACAATGAAACCTTGTTGCATTGTTCTCATTACTTTTATTTTTCTGCATATATCATTTAATTTATTTGGTTTCGGTATTATTTTTTCTCTTTTCTATCAGTCCCTGAACTATCATTTTATAGCAGCATTGATCATTGAAAAATAATGGTCCTGATCAACATTTTTCTACATTGAAAGTTTTTTAAATTTGAAATGACAATTTAGTACTACAGGGGATGAATGCATGATAATCTTGTGTTTAAAAAATTGACACTGCCTGTGTCACCTGGATTGCCTGCTGAATGTTGAAAATTGAGTTGCCATCTGCAGCCCTCCATTATATTGTTGGTAGTATATTTAACCCATAAACAGATACTAGAATGAAAAAATTCTCTTAATTTTATCATTTTTGTTTTCCACAAGATTGAGATCTATATGTATTCTTATATAGAGCTATGCTGCTGCAAGAACCTCCTAGCATCTGGGAATATGAAGGGGGGAAGAAAAAGTAGGAAAAGAATATGGTAAACTAAAAGTTGTGCTGAATTTTGTTGAGACGCATGAAGTGCTGATGAAAGTAAATCTTTCTTTTGTATACTCAGCATGAGTGATGGTGACTGTGAAAGCATGTAACATATCGCATGACACAAAAGGGCAGGGTTACACAAATTAGATTCTAATCAAGTACCGGGCCTGGACTTAATGGGAAGCAAAATATAATGATAAAAAAAAAACACTTATATAAATGAAAAATCTGAAAGAAATTCTTTTTTGTATAATCAATGAAATCTCCACCAAAATAATTAAACAAAGAATACACTTCTTATGTGCTGATTGCTTATCAAAGAATTCCAGACAATTTGCTTAAAGGTTGTTGTCGGGAGCTACACCACACTGTTGAATGGGCGTGTTGTCTTTTTATCTGTTCACAAGTACAATTCTGCACTACCCTATTTACATATCTGCACATCACAGGATCATTTACTCATGTAAATTAGTATATTTTTGTCTTTATTTTTGAATTTAGCATATTTGGGGTTTCTTGGGAGTTTCCATTTTTAAAAAAGAAGATCCCTGAAAAGAAAATAACAATAAAAATAATGCCCAAAACATAAATGTAATGATTAGAATTTGACTCCTTACAAGCATTCTAGGCCTTAAAAATTATACTTTTAATTGAGATGTAAGATTCAGTGCTGTCTTATCCATTAGGCAGTTTAGGCACACTGCTTAGGGCCTATGAAAATTAAGGACCTACAAAATTAAAAATTGAGAAAATAGAAGTTATGGATATTAAAATAGAACATTAAATTTTTCCTCAGTCAGTTTATTTTATGTAGACTTTTCTACACTTTTTGCATGCAGAATCTTTAATAATTTCCTCAATTGGCAACTGTTTTAATATTTCACTTTTTAAGGAAAGTATAGATAAATATGATAATTTTGTTTGAGACAAATTAGGTTTTAAATGATTTTTAATATGATTTAATGTTGAAAAAGATCATTCTCCCTCAGAATTTGATTCTAAGATTGACATGTACCAGTACATTCTAAGAGTAATGTTTGTATTAGGGAAGTTGGATACTAAATTCTCTTTTTGCAGCAACAATAATTCTTGTACTGTTTTGCAATCTGAAAATAATTTAAAAAGTTAAAAGAAAAAATTTTAAAAGTGCCTAGTGCCTATAAAAAGCTTAATGTGGATCTGGTAAGGTTTGTACAAAACATATGTCAGTCAACAGTTTTTTCAGCAAGAATTAGTTTTTAAATAGACTGTAATGTATCCTATATTTCAAAGAGTAATAATCATTTATTTGTTCTTATTTTAAGGGTTTCTTGAAACTGTTATTTTCCTCTCTTTATTGTTTTTGTTTTCCATTCTTTTAAAAAATGATTCATCAAGATTTTACTTTACTTCAATTATAATATAACCATTCAACTTATTCTAATAATAAATGAGTCAATCAGTCAGTTATTACAAGCAGTATTAAGAAACGTAATAATATACTATTAGTAGTTAATTTCTTAGAGAATATTTAATTTGTTTAGCTCATATGGTAATATTTATCATGTTTAGAGATTGTAGTCATAATGTATGACCGTATCATTTAATAATAGAATTTTTTTTATATATGGAATTTTATAATACATAATTTGTTTTTGCTTTATTCTATTGATAACTATCTCTTTTATTTTATACAAATCAATAAATACTTACAATTTATACTTGTATATGTAGATTTCATTGTTTTAAACCCAATGTATTTATGCTTCATCTCAAGTATTATCCTCAAACAGTTTCTAAAAAGAACTAAACACAATAAAAAATATAATCTTACAAAAGAATTATTTTACAATTTCTTTTATATAAAATAAAATATTAAAATCAACTACAGTAAAAGCTCAATATAATGGACCACAATGAAACCAAAGAAATTGATCTATTATAATGAAAGTCTATTTTATTGTGATTATATATTATTATGTACTCATCTGTTATATTGAAAAGTCCATTACTATATAGTAAAATCACATTAAAATGGATCTTGATAATTGACCTAGAGAAAATATCTACAGTCTGTGAATGTTTTCTTCAGGTCCAGATGAAAAATCAATAAATACCTTGTTTAAGCAGATCTATCAATATTATTCTGAATATAAAGGGATTCTACTGTATATAGTAATAATGACTTGTCTGTTACTGTATATCAATATTGCAGACAATAGTCAATTAATTATATAGTGGATAAAATTTCAGTTGTAAAGTATATCAACGAGATTTTTATTAAACTTGTAAAAACAATACTTTCAAATATTTCAAAAAATAATGAATAAAAGTATTGTTTTAAGAAAGTTTGTTGCAGTTTTTCCTTTGCTTTCCAAAAATCTGAAATTGTCTGCTTACTCATAGACATTTCTTTACCAACTTCAGTTTAAGATTTTCCATCTTCAAATGGATGAATTATATCCATTTTTTTGTCTTAAATCTAAAGTCTTTCATTTTCTTTTATGATTCATGGCTTTGCTTTACACAACAAATCCAAGACTCATTACTTATAGAGAATAAGTTCTGGAATCCTGTGATAAACAGTTAGAGAGCCATTGATGGTAAAGTACCAAAAGAACTGTATTGTATTGCTTTTATGTGTAGTATATAGAATAAATTCCAAAATAAGCATTGCACCAAGATGTAGTAATTTACAATGCTGACCTAAGTTATTAGCTGAAAATTTATATGGAATGAAAATAGGCATTGAGTACTGCATATAATTCTGAGTTAGTTGTTCTGAAACTGTAGGTTGCTAACTCCTGACTTAGTAGAAAATGAAATAACGAATCTTTATCAAATGATATAAAGTGAAAATATTGCTCTTTGATTAAAATTTATCATTGTTTGCATCTAAAATCTTTAATTTCTTATTTTTGATTACTTTTATATATAGTTATTGAAATTCGACTTTTTGTTTAAATCTGAATTTTTCGTTATATCTATCTTTTTATAATTGTTCTAATGGCTAAGCTTTGATTTTTCATTTGAATTTTAATTGTTAATTTAAGTAAGATATGTTAAAATATAAATATAATTAGGCTGTTGTTATCAATGTTTATATTTATTATTTATATTAAAATTATTATTTATATTTATAGTTATTAATTAATCCATTTAATTATTATTTAGCATTAATATATATTTTATATTTATAATATTGAATTGTACTGCAATAATAGAATCATGTAGATAATTTTATTCCTTTAATGATGAGTTTTACAAAAGTAATGGAATTCCCTTTTTATTAAATTAACTAATTATTTAAAACAAGTCACCTTTGCTGGCATTCAAAGTATTCTTTTTATGAAATATATCTCTCCTAACATGCACGTATCCTCGAGAAAATTAATTCCAGAGTTTACTGTTTTCAGTTGGATATTGTTAAGAATATTCATAATCTTTGTTATTCTGATTGAAACTGTTGTCCTTAGAGTATTTTTTTTTAGTCTAGCCAATCAGATAAAATTTTTATGACTGAGAATTCAAGTGCATCTTACAGTGGTTGATTCATCAATTCAGTAATTCAATTTTTATATCTTTGATAATTGTCTTTATTGTTTAATTATGGCAGATTGTTGTGTTTTTATCTAGGAGCAGTTAGTCAGATTTCACATATTCTGCTCTTTTATTTTGAATTTTTTTAGGTTTTTTAAAACATTACTGATTAAGTAATTTTTATTTTATTTTTCATTTAAGACATTTTCATAAAGGTAAATTTTTATTGTTAATATATAAATATGTTACAACTTTACAGAGCTCTAACAATAATTTATGACTAGAACATTGCATTATCATATCAATAAAAATATATTCTAAAAAGAACCAATGGAGTCAGATAATCTATTTTTTACCATATTGCACTATTCACTGGTACACGGAAAACTGCTAGTTTTCCATTCGTTTCTGACTTTTGGAGGCTTAATAAATCCTGAGTATTTAAACTGGTATAAAAATTAAGAAAAAGGTAAACAGTTGGAGAAACGAAGTGGAAACTTAAAGTGCGGATGTCGGAACACTTGGCTGCAATATGAAATAAAATTAATACATCCCTGGTTTTTTTTGCATTGTCACATGAACAATTGTCAATTGGATATTAATAATATAAAAATAATACATAAGGAAAAAATATAGTTAAGAGAAAATTTAAAGAACATTTTGCGATAATTATGCAAAGTAATGTTATGAATTTGAATAATGAAGTGGTGCCAGCGGAATGCTGGGAAGAGTTAGTGTTATTTAAGGATTGTAAACGCGATGGTACTAGTGAGAAAGATGTGTCTTTCATGGATGTTAAAGCGTCTTCTGTTGTATCTTCTACTGAGAAAGAAGTGTCGTTTGCGGATGTTGTTCCTATTGTACATTCTGGTTGTAAGAAACCCTACTGAGGAGGCCTTAGCAGGCGAAATGCATTTGGGGTGAAGTATATTTATTAAAATAAAAATGTTTTTCTTTATGTTAACCTGTTTACCTTTTTCTTAATTTTTATACCAGTTTAAATACTCAGGATTTATTAAGCCTCCAAAAGTCAGAAACGAATGGAAAACTAGCAGTTTTCCGTGTACTAGTGAATAGTGCAATACGGTAAAAAATTGCATTATCATTTTTACTTATAGGATTTAATCTAATCCTATAAGTAAAAATGTTTTAGTATAATTATTTTAAAAAAGATTTAAAAATATATAAAGTTATATGACTATCTTGTAGGACTATTTTTTATAATTAACAATAAAAACTTGCTTTTAAAAAATTTAGCTAAAAAATTTTAAAATACTACTATGATATTTAACAATTTGTATTTTTTTAAAATATCTATAGTGTAAATGTCAATTAAATTTAAAGTGAAATTAAGCTGATTTTTTTAAATTTTAAAATCGAATATTAAATGAAAATTATGACTGACTGAATTTCATAGTTAAATTTTTCATTATTCATAAACTAAGTAAAATATTGATATATTAAATAGTTCTTTAAATTTTTGCTTAAACCAATTTTTGTTTATAAAATACATTTAAATTTATTAATAGATATCAAACTTAAAAGTATATTTTGTGGTATTCATATATCTTATGTACAGAATTGCCTGCATAATACAACTGGACCAATATGCAATATTTGTGAAGTAGGTTTTTACGGAAATCCACTCTTTGGAACACCAGAAGATTGTCAAAAATGTAAATGTCCATTGGAAAATAGAGAAAATAATTTCTCACCAACATGTTTGACTATCACAAAATTATATGGCAAAGTTGATTATATTTGTACAGCTTGCCCTATGGGTTATGAAGGAGACAAGTGCGAAAGGTGAATTGATGCATATTCTATTTTTTAGATCATTGTAATTTTCTATTTAATTTAATACTTTATTGTTATTGTATTTCTTTATTCTATTTATATATTAATAATTGTTACAGATTGATTAAATTGATACAGATGAGTTGAATGTCTCATCTACTTACATTTGAGACTGAATTGTCTTAAAATAAAATTGCAGACTTTTTCACTTGATAAATTTTATTTGCTATAATTTTTAATTAGAAATTATGTAATGTATGTATCTTTATTTAATCTGTATGTAAATCTGTATTTAATTGTTTTATAAGATTGCCAGAAATGAATGCCAAAGAAGGTGGTCTTAAACAGGACTGGCTCAAGCATCTCTGGGCCATATTGATAAATTTATTTAGTAAAAAAAAAATATGTAACAGAGTTTCAATTTATTTATCTCAAAATTTATTATTCTATCATTTATAATTTTTTACTTATAGATTTGTTAATAAATACTTTTCTTGAAAAATTACATATATAAACTGAAAAATAAACACTGACTTTTATTATTCAACTTGTCTTTAGATTAAAACGAAACTGAAATTTGAAAAAGCAAAATAAACATTTTCATACATTCAAAATTTTAATTATATTATTATATGAATGTACATATTGGTAACAAAAAATTGTTACCTATATGTACATTCATATAATATTATAATTAGAACAGAATAGTTCAACAAATACAATTTTGTTGAACTATTCTGTTTGTTATATGTACTGTACTGTACATTAATATAATATTCTAATTAAAATCTTCAGTATATTAAAATATTTGCTGAAGATTAACTAAAAATTAACTAATTAAAATATTAGTTAATTTATTGTTTTGAAAATTTTGTTATTGAATATATTTGAATGTTACTTTTGTTCTTTTTAACTATTGTGCTTGTTGTGCAGCATTCTATTTTTGGATGATCAATACAAAACCTTCCTCACTTATTTCTAGCCGTTTATACATGAGTACGAACATTTTCGGCCTTCTTAATAGGCCTTCTTCAGGTGCACTGTGGTCTGTTAGAGTGTCGGTTGGTAGAAGTTTAAATGTTGTCAATGCTTACATAGGTATCATCTTACTAGTGACGTCATTGTTGATGATAGGTATAGACGATACCGAGGGCAAAAAATTCCTTCTTTTTGTAAAAAAGGGGAGGTGTGCAGATTTTTACCAAAAGAAGGAATTTTTTATTCACTTCTGTTCATTGGTCTCAGTCCGCGTGTTTGCTTCATCGTGGAAGGATCTTGCTCGATAAAGGAAATCTTGAGGTATTATCAGAAAGTGACTGATTTTATTGAAAAGAAACATCCCAAAAAGGTTCACACTTGCTGTATTGCTGCTCGGAGTAATGACATTTGCCTAAGTCATTTTAGAAACATTTTAAAAAGTAGGCAAAGCCAAACCTCTTTGGATAGATATTTTACCCAGCAACCTCTATCAAGTGAAAGTGCTGGTGGAAGTGAAGGAAAGAAAGCAAAAAGCAGTGAATAAAAAATTTTAAAAAATATATAAAACAGAAAAGTTAAAAAATTAGTGTTAAGTTATTTTTAAGTTATTGTTACATTATGTTATGTAAGTTAAGTTTTAGTATCATTTCCCTTCTCCCTCTCCTCTGCCACCAGTTTACACTTCCACTGTCATCTATCCTCGAAGTGCAAATAAAACTACATTTTTTTTTAGTCAATTATTATTCTATTATGGTTATTTATACATTTACAACTACAAAATGCATTTTTCAATGTTTTCCTTACTAAAGTTATTTTTTTTTCAATGTACTACTTAGCTTTAATTTGAGTGTGTTTTTCATATTGGAACGGATTATTTGGTTTTACATGTAATCATATAGAGAAAAATGGTTCACCTTATTGTAGCTGTTAATTTAAAGCAAGAGTAATACTGCATGAAAGTTCATAAATAGGCCTCCAGGCTGCCAGAGATATGGACACTTTGAAATCGGCATATCAAGTTATCGGCAGTCTGGAGGTCTATTTATGAACTTTCATGCAGTATTACTCTGTTGCTCTACATTAACAACTGTAATTTGTTTTGCCTATATACTGTATATTCTATAATATTTATAGGTTAGTTATATATTTGATGCAATTAAATCAATATTAGTTGCAACTCAAAACTTTTTTATTCTAAGTATATTGTATTCTAAATTTAATAAGTTAAGATATCATTTACAATGTTTAAAGAAATCTAAAATATGTATAATCTGAATGCTATTTATTTAATTCTATCTGATTATTATGAGATAAATCAAAAATATGCATCATCTAATGTAAGATCAAATATTTTTTCTTTTATAATTCTCTGCATGTTTAAGATAGATTAAAGGCATGTGTATTAGAAATGAAACGTTGAATAAATTAAAATGGTAAACAAGTGTTAGTCTAGATTAGATACCACTTGACTAGGAATAAATATTTGTATATTAATTTTGATTAGTAGAAAAGTATCATAGTATCATAGATTTAAAATTTGATGTCATTTTATTGTTATATTGTAACATTATTAATCTGAATAGAATATTAAAAATAAAGATAAAACAAAAGATTATGATGATGGTGATGGTGATACACATACACAACATATCAATACTAGCATACTTGAAATTAAGAAATTTTTACTAACATTTTCATCCATTTATAACTGGCATCTTCAGGTATGTAATTCAGAATGAAATGGTTACATTAAAATCAAATGTGTTTTTACAAACGATTTACAAGACAAGTTTTAATTGTTTCGGGAACAAAGTACATCTACAGTTTAAAATTATTTCTCATATACGTTACAAAACAATTTAAAATTATTTTCTGAACAAATTACATATTGTAGCCATTTTGTTCTGCATTATATATCTGAAGATGTCTGTTATAAATGGATGAAAATATTAGTAAAAAATTTCTTAATTTCAAGTGTGCTAGTATCGGTATGTTGTATATGTATATTCTCTCCCAGTATTGGAGAGTTATTGAATGATAATAAAAATTTTTGAGAAACTTAAATATCAAGATAGAATATTTGAATGAATTAGTTAAATATTTCAATTAGAAATGTGTAAAAAAAGTAAAGTACACTTATTAATGTTTTAAATGTTTTCAATTATTCACTAGTTTTTCTTCTGAAATTATTTGGATTTTCAAAAAATTAATCTTAGATTAATAAGATAACAATTAAATGAATAAATATTGGTTTTATGCTAATTGCTTTTTAAAATAGATGTTTTAAATGCTTATGTAATAACCAAGTGGCTGATTTTCTTACTAAAAAATAATACTTGAAGTATAAATCTTAATATATTAACTAAATATTCTTTTAGAATAGAATAAGTTTAGTAATATTTGTATTAGATAGGGTAAATGTGATTCCAATAAGCTTACATAATTAGATTATTTAGCTTGGTTTAGTTAATGTAAATTTGAATATTATTTACATTCAACATACTTATTGTTTAAAAAATCTGGACTTTAATTTTTTGAATTATGATATATGATTGACATAAAATGTTTTCAGTTTAAGCATTATTTATTTAATATCTTATAAACTATAATTAAGTATAATATTGTATGATAATATATATATAATATAATATAATGTGAAATTAATGAACATTTTTAAATTTTAGATGTGGTTATGGATTTTTTGGTAACCCTATGATTCCAGGAAGTTATTGCCAAAAATGTGATTGCAGTGGTAATGCAGATATATCTGATCCAAATTATTGCAATCAGTTGACAGGGCAGTGTTTGAAATGTGTTAATAATACATCTGGGTGGAACTGTCATGAATGTGCAGAAAATTATTTTGGTAATGCATTACTGCATAATTGTCAGCGTAAGTAATTTTTGGTTCTAATATTTCATTAAAGCTTAATTTTTAACATTTTGAAATGTGTATTTTGAAATTTTCATAATAGTTTTTCAAGAATAAATGAAAAATAGTTAACTTGTATTTAGCATCTTAAATATATTCTGTTTAAATTTAAGGAATACTCAGGAGTATTAAGCATGTAGAATGTATCTCCAACCTAAGGCCTGTGGGCCAGAACAGTTCCCAAGTAGTGACTCACTTAAGATTTAATCTTGGGGAGTCAAGTTGAACAAATAAAAGAATTTTTAATGCAAATTCAATAAAATTCCCATCTTATGTGACTGGTAATTCATAAGTAATATAGAAATAGAACACATGACACAATATAAATAAAAAAATAAATTTTAATTAGGAAAATATTTTTGAAAAATTTATCAGTGTTTATTTTCCTTTTACTTTGGGAAATGCCACGGCCCCTTGGCTCACCTCCTGAGTGTGCCACTGTCCCAAAGCATGCAGTGTTTTTTACCAATATATTTTATCAACATTCAAACTAGTTCAAAGCATATAAAGTTCAAAAAGTCAACTAGAATTAAAAAACCTTGCTACAAATGATTTTTATAAAAATCTATTTAAAGAAATGAGTTTGTTAAATTTTTACAAATCTCTGCCAGAAAAGAATTTTAAGTCCTTAACAAGTTTTCGTGAAAATATTTTCTAATTTTGTCTTCACGTATACCTTTTCAAAAGTGAAATATAGAAAATCTAAATATCAGATGGTACCACCTAATGAATAACTAAAGGAGATTTTAATATTAGGAGCCACAGAATGTTAATAATGAACTTTAAAAAAGCAGTTGCAAACTTTACATTGATTTATGTCCATTCAGAAATAAAAAATTCTTAATCTTTGACTATATCTTTTGTATTTGGCTCAAAACATCTTTTATGACTCATATGACTTTTTTCGTAAAGAGGTTGGAGACCTTTGATGTAGAAGATTGGTTTCTATTGTATCTTGATATAGATTATTCCATTCTGTAATAAAATAGGGACATAAAAATATTGAGGGTCTCACTAAGAAATACTAAGAATATATATTTAAAACAATATACAGTATTGAGGTTATATTAATAATAATACCATTGAATGAAAATCACAAAACATTAGGACTTCACAACATCATATACATCCCACTGCAGAAGGTTACCCTATGCAGAGTACAGGATTATACAAGCATAACAATCTGAATTTTGAATGTCAATGTTTGGTTAACCAAATATTGATAAATTTGTTTGCATAAAATATTTCATGAATAGTTAATTTTCTAAACTTATTACATTCTTTTACTTTTAAAATTTTAAAATAATCTTTATTTTTTATATTTATAAGTTAATTAAGTTNAGTTTTCCATTCGTTTCTGACTTTTGGAGGCTTAATAAATCCTGAGTATTTAAACTGGTATAAAAATTAAGAAAAAGGTAAACAGTTGGAGAAACGAAGTGGAAACTTAAAGTGCGGATGTCGGAACACTTGGCTGCAATATGAAATAAAATTAATACATCCCTGGTTTTTTTTGCATTGTCACATGAACAATTGTCAATTGGATATTAATAATATAAAAATAATACATAAGGAAAAAATATAGTTAAGAGAAAATTTAAAGAACATTTTGCGATAATTATGCAAACTTACAAAAGAATTATTTTACAATTTCTTTTATATAAAATAAAATATTAAAATCAACTACAGTAAAAGCTCAATATAATGGACCACAATGAAACCAAAGAAATTGATCTATTATAATGAAAGTCTATTTTATTGTGATTATATATTATTATGTACTCATCTGTTATATTGAAAAGTCCATTACTATATAGTAAAATCACATTAAAATGGATCTTGATAATTGACCTAGAGAAAATATCTACAGTCTGTGAATGTTTTCTTCAGGTCCAGATGAAAAATCAATAAATACCTTGTTTAAGCAGATCTATCAATATTATTCTGAATATAAAGGGATTCTACTGTATATAGTAATAATGACTTGTCTGTTACTGTATATCAATATTGCAGACAATAGTCAATTAATTATATAGTGGATAAAATTTCAGTTGTAAAGTATATCAACGAGATTTTTATTAAACTTGTAAAAACAATACTTTCAAATATTTCAAAAAATAATGAATAAAAGTATTGTTTTAAGAAAGTTTGTTGCAGTTTTTCCTTTGCTTTCCAAAAATCTGAAATTGTCTGCTTACTCATAGACATTTCTTTACCAACTTCAGTTTAAGATTTTCCATCTTCAAATGGATGAATTATATCCATTTTTTTGTCTTAAATCTAAAGTCTTTCATTTTCTTTTATGATTCATGGCTTTGCTTTACACAACAAATCCAAGACTCATTACTTACAGAGAATAAGTTCTGGAATCCTGTGATAAACAGTTAGAGAGCCATTGATGGTAAAGTACCAAAAGAACTGTATTGTATTGCTTTTATGTGTAGTATATAGAATAAATTCCAAAATAAGCATTGCACCAAGATGTAGTAATTTACAATGCTGACCTAAGTTATTAGCTGAAAATTTATATGGAATGAAAATAGGCATTGAGTACTGCATATAATTCTGAGTTAGTTGTTCTGAAACTGTAGGTTGCTAACTCCTGACTTAGTAGAAAATGAAATAACGAATCTTTATCAAATGATATAAAGTGAAAATATTGCTCTTTGATTAAAATTTATCATTGTTTGCATCTAAAATCTTTAATTTCTTATTTTTGATTACTTTTATATATAGTTATTGAAATTCGACTTTTTGTTTAAATCTGAATTTTTCGTTATATCTATCTTTTTATAATTGTTCTAATGGCTAAGCTTTGATTTTTCATTTGAATTTTAATTGTTAATTTAAGTAAGATATGTTAAAATATAAATATAATTAGGCTGTTGTTATCAATGTTTATATTTATTATTTATATTAAAATTATTATTTATATTTATAGTTATTAATTAATCCATTTAATTATTATTTAGCATTAATATATATTTTATATTTATAATATTGAATTGTACTGCAATAATAGAATCATGTAGATAATTTTATTCCTTTAATGATGAGTTTTACAAAAGTAATGGAATTCCCTTTTTATTAAATTAACTAATTATTTAAAACAAGTCACCTTTGCTGGCATTCAAAGTATTCTTTTTATGAAATATATCTCTCCTAACATGCACGTATCCTCGAGAAAATTAATTCCAGAGTTTACTGTTTTCAGTTGGATATTGTTAAGAATATTCATAATCTTTGTTATTCTGATTGAAACTGTTGTCCTTAGAGTATTTTTTTTTAGTCTAGCCAATCAGATAAAATTTTTATGACTGAGAATTCAAGTGCATCTTACAGTGGTTGATTCATCAATTCAGTAATTCAATTTTTATATCTTTGATAATTGTCTTTATTGTTTAATTATGGCAGATTGTTGTGTTTTTATCTAGGAGCAGTTAGTCAGATTTCACATATTCTGCTCTTTTATTTTGAATTTTTTTAGGTTTTTTAAAACATTACTGATTAAGTAATTTTTATTTTATTTTTCATTTAAGACATTTTCATAAAGGTAAATTTTTATTGTTAATATATAAATATGTTACAACTTTACAGAGCTCTAACAATAATTTATGACTAGAACATTGCATTATCATATCAATAAAAATATATTCTAAAAAGAACCAATGGAGTCAGATAATCTATTTTTTACCATATTGCACTATTCACTGGTACACGGAAAACTGCTAGTTTTCCATTCGTTTCTGACTTTTGGAGGCTTAATAAATCCTGAGTATTTAAACTGGTATAAAAATTAAGAAAAAGGTAAACAGTTGGAGAAACGAAGTGGAAACTTAAAGTGCGGATGTCGGAACACTTGGCTGCAATATGAAATAAAATTAATACATCCCTGGTTTTTTTTGCATTGTCACATGAACAATTGTCAATTGGATATTAATAATATAAAAATAATACATAAGGAAAAAATATAGTTAAGAGAAAATTTAAAGAACATTTTGCGATAATTATGCAAAGTAATGTTATGAATTTGAATAATGAAGTGGTGCCAGCGGAATGCTGGGAAGAGTTAGTGTTATTTAAGGATTGTAAACGCGATGGTACTAGTGAGAAAGATGTGTCTTTCATGGATGTTAAAGCGTCTTCTGTTGTATCTTCTACTGAGAAAGAAGTGTCGTTTGCGGATGTTGTTCCTATTGTACATTCTGGTTGTAAGAAACCCTACTGAGGAGGCCTTAGCAGGCGAAATGCATTTGGGGTGAAGTATATTTATTAAAATAAAAATGTTTTTCTTTATGTTAACCTGTTTACCTTTTTCTTAATTTTTATACCAGTTTAAATACTCAGGATTTATTAAGCCTCCAAAAGTCAGAAACGAATGGAAAACTAGCAGTTTTCCGTGTACTAGTGAATAGTGCAATACGGTAAAAAATTGCATTATCATTTTTACTTATAGGATTTAATCTAATCCTATAAGTAAAAATGTTTTAGTATAATTATTTTAAAAAAGATTTAAAAATATATAAAGTTATATGACTATCTTGTAGGACTATTTTTTATAATTAACAATAAAAACTTGCTTTTAAAAAATTTAGCTAAAAAATTTTAAAATACTACTATGATATTTAACAATTTGTATTTTTTTAAAATATCTATAGTGTAAATGTCAATTAAATTTAAAGTGAAATTAAGCTGATTTTTTTAAATTTTAAAATCGAATATTAAATGAAAATTATGACTGACTGAATTTCATAGTTAAATTTTTCATTATTCATAAACTAAGTAAAATATTGATATATTAAATAGTTCTTTAAATTTTTGCTTAAACCAATTTTTGTTTATAAAATACATTTAAATTTATTAATAGATATCAAACTTAAAAGTATATTTTGTGGTATTCATATATCTTATGTACAGAATTGCCTGCATAATACAACTGGACCAATATGCAATATTTGTGAAGTAGGTTTTTACGGAAATCCACTCTTTGGAACACCAGAAGATTGTCAAAAATGTAAATGTCCATTGGAAAATAGAGAAAATAATTTCTCACCAACATGTTTGACTATCACAAAATTATATGGCAAAGTTGATTATATTTGTACAGCTTGCCCTATGGGTTATGAAGGAGACAAGTGCGAAAGGTGAATTGATGCATATTCTATTTTTTAGATCATTGTAATTTTCTATTTAATTTAATACTTTATTGTTATTGTATTTCTTTATTCTATTTATATATTAATAATTGTTACAGATTGATTAAATTGATACAGATGAGTTGAATGTCTCATCTACTTACATTTGAGACTGAATTGTCTTAAAATAAAATTGCAGACTTTTTCACTTGATAAATTTTATTTGCTATAATTTTTAATTAGAAATTATGTAATGTATGTATCTTTATTTAATCTGTATGTAAATCTGTATTTAATTGTTTTATAAGATTGCCAGAAATGAATGCCAAAGAAGGTGGTCTTAAACAGGACTGGCTCAAGCATCTCTGGGCCATATTGATAAATTTATTTAGTAAAAAAAAAATATGTAACAGAGTTTCAATTTATTTATCTCAAAATTTATTATTCTATCATTTATAATTTTTTACTTATAGATTTGTTAATAAATACTTTTCTTGAAAAATTACATATATAAACTGAAAAATAAACACTGACTTTTATTATTCAACTTGTCTTTAGATTAAAACGAAACTGAAATTTGAAAAAGCAAAATAAACATTTTCATACATTCAAAATTTTAATTATATTATTATATGAATGTACATATTGGTAACAAAAAATTGTTACCTATATGTACATTCATATAATATTATAATTAGAACAGAATAGTTCAACAAATACAATTTTGTTGAACTATTCTGTTTGTTATATGTACTGTACTGTACATTAATATAATATTCTAATTAAAATCTTCAGTATATTAAAATATTTGCTGAAGATTAACTAAAAATTAACTAATTAAAATATTAGTTAATTTATTGTTTTGAAAATTTTGTTATTGAATATATTTGAATGTTACTTTTGTTCTTTTTAACTATTGTGCTTGTTGTGCAGCATTCTATTTTTGGATGATCAATACAAAACCTTCCTCACTTATTTCTAGCCGTTTATACATGAGTACGAACATTTTCGGCCTTCTTAATAGGCCTTCTTCAGGTGCACTGTGGTCTGTTAGAGTGTCGGTTGGTAGAAGTTTAAATGTTGTCAATGCTTACATAGGTATCATCTTACTAGTGACGTCATTGTTGATGATAGGTATAGACGATACCGAGGGCAAAAAATTCCTTCTTTTTGTAAAAAAGGGGAGGTGTGCAGATTTTTACCAAAAGAAGGAATTTTTTATTCACTTCTGTTCATTGGTCTCAGTCCGCGTGTTTGCTTCATCGTGGAAGGATCTTGCTCGATAAAGGAAATCTTGAGGTATTATCAGAAAGTGACTGATTTTATTGAAAAGAAACATCCCAAAAAGGTTCACACTTGCTGTATTGCTGCTCGGAGTAATGACATTTGCCTAAGTCATTTTAGAAACATTTTAAAAAGTAGGCAAAGCCAAACCTCTTTGGATAGATATTTTACCCAGCAACCTCTATCAAGTGAAAGTGCTGGTGGAAGTGAAGGAAAGAAAGCAAAAAGCAGTGAATAAAAAATTTTAAAAAATATATAAAACAGAAAAGTTAAAAAATTAGTGTTAAGTTATTTTTAAGTTATTGTTACATTATGTTATGTAAGTTAAGTTTTAGTATCATTTCCCTTCTCCCTCTCCTCTGCCACCAGTTTACACTTCCACTGTCATCTATCCTCGAAGTGCAAATAAAACTACATTTTTTTTTAGTCAATTATTATTCTATTATGGTTATTTATACATTTACAACTACAAAATGCATTTTTCAATGTTTTCCTTACTAAAGTTATTTTTTTTTCAATGTACTACTTAGCTTTAATTTGAGTGTGTTTTTCATATTGGAACGGATTATTTGGTTTTACATGTAATCATATAGAGAAAAATGGTTCACCTTATTGTAGCTGTTAATTTAAAGCAAGAGTAATACTGCATGAAAGTTCATAAATAGGCCTCCAGGCTGCCAGAGATATGGACACTTTGAAATCGGCATATCAAGATATCGGCAGTCTGGAGGTCTATTTATGAACTTTCATGCAGTATTACTCTGTTGCTCTACATTAACAACTGTAATTTGTTTTGCCTATATACTGTATATTCTATAATATTTATAGGTTAGTTATATATTTGATGCAATTAAATCAATATTAGTTGCAACTCAAAACTTTTTTATTCTAAGTATATTGTATTCTAAATTTAATAAGTTAAGATATCATTTACAATGTTTAAAGAAATCTAAAATATGTATAATCTGAATGCTATTTATTTAATTCTATCTGATTATTATGAGATAAATCAAAAATATGCATCATCTAATGTAAGATCAAATATTTTTTCTTTTATAATTCTCTGCATGTTTAAGATAGATTAAAGGCATGTGTATTAGAAATGAAACGTTGAATAAATTAAAATGGTAAACAAGTGTTAGTCTAGATTAGATACCACTTGACTAGGAATAAATATTTGTATATTAATTTTGATTAGTAGAAAAGTATCATAGTATCATAGATTTAAAATTTGATGTCATTTTATTGTTATATTGTAACATTATTAATCTGAATAGAATATTAAAAATAAAGATAAAACAAAAGATTATGATGATGGTGATGGTGATACACATACACAACATATCAATACTAGCATACTTGAAATTAAGAAATTTTTACTAACATTTTCATCCATTTATAACTGGCATCTTCAGGTATGTAATTCAGAATGAAATGGTTACATTAAAATCAAATGTGTTTTTACAAACGATTTACAAGACAAGTTTTAATTGTTTCGGGAACAAAGTACATCTACAGTTTAAAATTATTTCTCATATACGTTACAAAACAATTTAAAATTATTTTCTGAACAAATTACATATTGTAGCCATTTTGTTCTGCATTATATATCTGAAGATGTCTGTTATAAATGGATGAAAATATTAGTAAAAAATTTCTTAATTTCAAGTGTGCTAGTATCGGTATGTTGTATATGTATATTCTCTCCCAGTATTGGAGAGTTATTGAATGATAATAAAAATTTTTGAGAAACTTAAATATCAAGATAGAATATTTGAATGAATTAGTTAAATATTTCAATTAGAAATGTGTAAAAAAAGTAAAGTACACTTATTAATGTTTTAAATGTTTTCAATTATTCACTAGTTTTTCTTCTGAAATTATTTGGATTTTCAAAAAATTAATCTTAGATTAATAAGATAACAATTAAATGAATAAATATTGGTTTTATGCTAATTGCTTTTTAAAATAGATGTTTTAAATGCTTATGTAATAACCAAGTGGCTGATTTTCTTACTAAAAAATAATACTTGAAGTATAAATCTTAATATATTAACTAAATATTCTTTTAGAATAGAATAAGTTTAGTAATATTTGTATTAGATAGGGTAAATGTGATTCCAATAAGCTTACATAATTAGATTATTTAGCTTGGTTTAGTTAATGTAAATTTGAATATTATTTACATTCAACATACTTATTGTTTAAAAAATCTGGACTTTAATTTTTTGAATTATGATATATGATTGACATAAAATGTTTTCAGTTTAAGCATTATTTATTTAATATCTTATAAACTATAATTAAGTATAATATTGTATGATAATATATATATAATATAATATAATGTGAAATTAATGAACATTTTTAAATTTTAGATGTGGTTATGGATTTTTTGGTAACCCTATGATTCCAGGAAGTTATTGCCAAAAATGTGATTGCAGTGGTAATGCAGATATATCTGATCCAAATTATTGCAATCAGTTGACAGGGCAGTGTTTGAAATGTGTTAATAATACATCTGGGTGGAACTGTCATGAATGTGCAGAAAATTATTTTGGTAATGCATTACTGCATAATTGTCAGCGTAAGTAATTTTTGGTTCTAATATTTCATTAAAGCTTAATTTTTAACATTTTGAAATGTGTATTTTGAAATTTTCATAATAGTTTTTCAAGAATAAATGAAAAATAGTTAACTTGTATTTAGCATCTTAAATATATTCTGTTTAAATTTAAGGAATACTCAGGAGTATTAAGCATGTAGAATGTATCTCCAACCTAAGGCCTGTGGGCCAGAACAGTTCCCAAGTAGTGACTCACTTAAGATTTAATCTTGGGGAGTCAAGTTGAACAAATAAAAGAATTTTTAATGCAAATTCAATAAAATTCCCATCTTATGTGACTGGTAATTCATAAGTAATATAGAAATAGAACACATGACACAATATAAATAAAAAAATAAATTTTAATTAGGAAAATATTTTTGAAAAATTTATCAGTGTTTATTTTCCTTTTACTTTGGGAAATGCCACGGCCCCTTGGCTCACCTCCTGAGTGTGCCACTGTCCCAAAGCATGCAGTGTTTTTTACCAATATATTTTATCAACATTCAAACTAGTTCAAAGCATATAAAGTTCAAAAAGTCAACTAGAATTAAAAAACCTTGCTACAAATGATTTTTATAAAAATCTATTTAAAGAAATGAGTTTGTTAAATTTTTACAAATCTCTGCCAGAAAAGAATTTTAAGTCCTTAACAAGTTTTCGTGAAAATATTTTCTAATTTTGTCTTCACGTATACCTTTTCAAAAGTGAAATATAGAAAATCTAAATATCAGATGGTACCACCTAATGAATAACTAAAGGAGATTTTAATATTAGGAGCCACAGAATGTTAATAATGAACTTTAAAAAAGCAGTTGCAAACTTTACATTGATTTATGTCCATTCAGAAATAAAAAATTCTTAATCTTTGACTATATCTTTTGTATTTGGCTCAAAACATCTTTTATGACTCATATGACTTTTTTCGTAAAGAGGTTGGAGACCTTTGATGTAGAAGATTGGTTTCTATTGTATCTTGATATAGATTATTCCATTCTGTAATAAAATAGGGACATAAAAATATTGAGGGTCTCACTAAGAAATACTAAGAATATATATTTAAAACAATATACAGTATTGAGGTTATATTAATAATAATACCATTGAATGAAAATCACAAAACATTAGGACTTCACAACATCATATACATCCCACTGCAGAAGGTTACCCTATGCAGAGTACAGGATTATACAAGCATAACAATCTGAATTTTGAATGTCAATGTTTGGTTAACCAAATATTGATAAATTTGTTTGCATAAAATATTTCATGAATAGTTAATTTTCTAAACTTATTACATTCTTTTACTTTTAAAATAATCTTTATTTTTTATATTTATAAGTTAATTAAGTTAATGGATTAATTTAAAAAATAAAAAATTAATAAACACATGCAAAAATTTACTGATCTTTAGAAATTAGTTTTTTTTAATATAAAGTACAGTTTTTTTATATAAAGTACTTTGTTTATATTATATCTGGGATTTAGGATTTTTATTTAAAGTTGTGTAAAAAATTCCATAAAATAAATTTTATTTATGTATATTGTGATATTACAATAAGATACAGCATTAAATTTTCTATCATTTAGTATTTTTTTTTTGTTTCCAGAACTTCAAGGCACTTTTAAATTAAAAGAACACCTTTAAATTTTTAAATTATTTCTGTTGAATTTGATATTCTTATGTTTTTTTTATTTTTAAATAGTGTAATTCACTGAGGATGGCTTATTGTATTAGATTAAAAACATTATTATTTATTAAATTACTGCTGGAGTCACAAGATGATCTGTTTATTACTGTTAAAATACACAAAAACTTTTTGTTCAACTGAATATAAGCTTTTCTTATTAACTATGATATCTGGAAAGTGTGTGGAAGCAACAAAATCTAAGAGGAATGTTGTAATATCAATGATTAAGGTGAAAGAAAAGTTATTGCGAAGCACAAGAGTGGTAGGCATGTAGCAAATATGATGGCCATGTTTAAGATGCTGAAGTTGATGATACATGATCAATTAATGCAAAATTTCATTTTATTATACAGTATTTACATATTTTATTTATTGTTTTTGTGTTTTAATTTATTATTAGGGCATTTAATTGTGTTATTTTTACCTTAAATTATGTGTATTTGCTGTTTTAAGTTTATTGAAGTGGGTATTGTTTAGGGTCTGGGAATGGATTAATTCACTTTCCATTATTTCTGGTGGGAAAAATTGATTTGGACTTGGAATGAATTAAATTCAAATTACAAGACACCACTATAATAAAAATTTGATATTGTAAACTAGATATATAAGTGTAAGAAGTGAATATAAATACATGTTTATTGCTTCTTGTTAACAATAGATCAGAAAATTAATGATGTACATTTTTCTATAATATACCAGAAATAATTTCTATGTTATTATCTCTAATATTAAGTTACTGTAAGATCTATCACAATTTAAACTTACTCATTTAGAGTCTTAATCAGAAGAATGTATATTATCTGCTTCAGTATAATAAAAAAGAAACTATGAGTATAATGATATGAAATATCAAACATACATAGTTTTATAGAAACTTCATTAAAGAGTTAAATATTTTTCTTATTTACCTATTAGATACTATGAATAAGTAACATAGCCTATAATCAACCAATTATTTTCTTTCTGTTCATAAAGGGGTTTTTTTTCTCTCAGAAAAAGTGTATATGGATCTCATTCTGTTTAAAGAGTACTAAAAGATCTCATAAAAGAATTGTAAAATGCATGTATTAAAACATTACATTTAACAAAAAAAGCATTATTTTTTAATCTACAATAATTCATATCTGGTTTGAAAAAGTATTCAATCTGAAACATGTAAAATATTGAAATATAACAAAAATATAAATATAAATGATATATGTAGGACATCTCTTGCAGAATAAATTACAGAACAAGCAGATATTAAGTACATAAGATATATTTGAGGCATTAATATTCTGTGCATTAAAGAATGTGCATTAAATGAGAATAAACATCAATCCTATAAAACAATCTTTCAAGAAAAAAAATTAAATATATTAAATACAGTGAAAACTTGATTATTTGAACTTCACATGACGAGGGGACTTTCAGATAAACAAAATTTTGGATAATTCAGAAACTCATTTGATTTTGTTTTGGGTACATCAAACACTCTGCATTTGAAGTTTCACAAACAATAAATATTGTAATGCAATTAATGTATTTGAAGATTAATTAATTTACTCAAAATGTAACATAATAGTATGTACTGTACAGTACATGACCTGGTTGTGTGGTACTAAAATGTTCATATTAAATAGTTGTATATGTTTGTGTATATGTAATAGTATTTGAGTTTCTTTGTATTAAAGTTAAGTTAATAAATTTATTCGCAATATTTTCATATTCATTTTTTTAATTTTTATTTTGTAGCTTGTGAGTGTAATGAATATGGCTCATTGAGTAAGGAATGTGACACTTCTTTGGGTATTTGTCAATGTAAAGGCAATTATGTTGGAAGAAATTGTGCAAGATGTGCTGTAAGTATAATGTAATGTATTTGATATGAATAAGTTTTTTTCAATTATTTCTGTGATTTGTAAATATAAATTCATTTTACTCTGTCCAAAAATTTAAAAATGTATATACTTAATTCTTAAATTTTGGAGTTTATGTTTTTGATTCTTTCTAGCACTTTCTGGTTTCAACTGACCATAAAGGAAATTCACACCAAATATCAAAAAACTTATTTGATTATCAAAAATATACTTTCAGAAAATATTTTAAAACTAGATAATCATGACAGGGAACTATGTAGTTAATGGTCTGGTCTTTTGCCCCAGTCAGGTCAGTTGGAGCTCCCTTGTTAATATGTTACCATGGCATGGGAAAAAGGGTGAAATGTATTTATCCCATTCCCTTATCCTAGTTAATATATTATGTTCCCATCAAACACTTATCATATTGATTTGACCAGGACAATATGGTGGATCATGCTGGTTAGACATTTTCATTTATGTCCCAGATATGGAACCATAACAAAAATTCTATAAATGCATGTACATAGTTCATAGCCAAGAAAAAGGTATCCTTCCTGTCTTTTCTGAGTAATAGAAACCTTAATACTCTTTTGGTTTCTTGAATGAGATAAGGCAAATTCTAAATAAAAATGGCAATGCCAAATGGTATATAGTAGCATTATTTGCTGAACAATCTGACTTTGAATATTACAATAATAAAATTAATAACTTTAATTTATAATATAATAATATTACTACTACTACCAAAATAATTATAAATAAGTAATACAATGTGTTGTGATGTAGCACCATCTATGGAGAAAGAAAAACAACAAACAAACACATGAGCCTACAGACTTTGATTATTACATTAATAGTGTTTGTTTAACACAAAGATGTGTAAACAGATACATTAGTTTTGATGGTTTTGTCATCTGAACTAATATTTTCATAAAATAATCTTAAACAATTATATAAATTTTTTTGATATTTACTGTGAATGACCCTGATGATGGGTCATTCACAAAAAGGAACCCAAAAGTGCTAGGAAAAGTGAAAAATATAAACTCTGAAAAAGCAATTTAAGGAATAAGTTAATATTGTACTCTTTTTTGTGTTAAGTAAGAAATATATACTGAGTATAGGTATAACTTATTTGTTGTTTTAAAGCATTTATATTTCATGCTGAAAATATTTATTATTCAATACATAAATAATTCAAAATTTCAGTTTAATAGTAATAATAATAACTTAAATAAATACTCTTTAGTAATAAAGAACCATATTTTATATTAATATTATAAATTGTTTTTCTTATAATCAATCAAGGGCAATAACATGTATCTTGTTCACAGTTTATTCACCAATTTTTCATTTCATTTTTTTGACATTGATTTCACAATGTGCATTTCAGAAAACAATTTGTTTCCTTTTCAGTTGCATTTTTTTGAATTAATAATAATAATGATAATTAAAATTATTTTTAAAAGATAGTAATTTAAATGATGATGGAGTTTAACAGTTAACCAAGAAGAAACATAATTAAAGTTTTATTTAGTACTTATTATTTATGAAAGAAATTGATAAATGTTCAGATTTATTTAATTTGATTTTGCAATATGTTTGTAATATGCAAAATCATGTTTATTAGATTTCATATCATTAATTTTTAAATTCTTATCATTACTCTTTTATTGCTTTTTAAATGGAATAAAGTTTTGAAGTAAAGTAATGGAAACTTTTTAAAATGTTATATTTTAAATTGTTATATTTTATTATTTAAAATTTTTAATGACAACATCCAGCATTTTCAATTGTCATCTATATGCTTACTGCATAAATCAGATGGCACTATGGTAAAGCACACTCATGTGGTGGAAATTTGAAAAACGTAGTTACAAACATGTGTATTTACATAAGTGCAGTGAACATAGTTTTAAGAAATAATTTTATTTTCTGTAATTTTTGATGATTTTTTTTGAAGAAAATCCATTAGAACACTGAAAAATTAAAATAAACAGACTATTTTCGTAATGTTACTCAAAATATTCAAAAATATACAGGTTTTGGTATATGTATTCCACAAATGCATGTACAGTACATAAATTTAGCTAAAAAATTCCATTACAAGTTGCCCAAAGGAAAGTTAATCATCTATATTACATCTCTTTCGATCATTTTTTAAAATGTAATTAAAATTTAATTTTATCAAAATGTAGTTAATGAGATCTAAAATCNATGTAATAGATATAAAGAATTAGAAGAAAACTTTTATTACTCAAACTACAACTTTTAAATTGTTAGTTTATTATATGATTTATTATTAAATAAACTAATTCATGATCAACTAGCAAGATTACTAGGACAAGATACTGTATATTCAAAATGATATCAATACTTTATTGAAATACCAAATACTAAACATGATTTAGTTGAAACAATTCTTCATAATTAAATCATTTATATTGAATAATTAATATAAAGAAATTGAATAATTTTTGTTAATTTAGGATGAATATTGGAATTTGATTTCTGAAAAAGGCTGTGAATATTGTTCCTGTAATAAAACAGGATCAACATCACCTTCATGTGATCCTATTTATGGAAATTGTGAATGCAAACCTGGAGTAGGTGGTCAATTTTGTGATCACTGTTTGCCAGATTATTATGGATTTTCAGAAAATGGATGTTCAGGTATAAACATATAATAAATTTAAAAATGTATTTGTAAAATGTAAATAATATATATGACAGAAGTGTGAAAAATAACATGCTTGTTTTCTGTCTTGATTTAACTTGCTGAGAATTGGACAAATCTCAAATTTTTAGACTATTGCTTGGTAATATGTTGAATTCATATCTTATGGTGTCTATTTCCAATAATAAATCTAATATTAAAGCTATTTCATTATAATTGATAATTAGAGCTTAGGACATCTAGGCACTAAGAAATCATATAAATGGTTATATCCTATGCAGTCCAACTTTTTTTCCACAATATTCTAAAATTTACAAATATTGTGGAAGAAAATTATCTGTAATTATTAAATTTATTGAGATAAGGCAGTATAACCACCTACTATTTGCCGAATTACTTAGTAATTCTGTAATCTTATAATCTGATAAAGAAATCTGGTTGTTCATTTGATATTTAAAATTTTTAAATTTCAACTTAAATTGAACTTAAATATTGCATTAAAATTTAAAAAAATGGCTATTAATAGGCAAATGTTAATAGAATTAAATTAATTAAGATGTTATTTATGGATGGTTTTCATGAAACAGATATCCTAAATACAAAAGTATTTATTTCTTCAAGGATGGATATGGAAATATAGAAGCAGGTTGTTTACCGTGCTCTTGTAATAAACATGGATCAATTTCGAAATATTGTGATCCAGTTTCTGGGCAATGTCCTTGTAAACCAGGTATTTTTGGAATGAAATGTGATATCTGTTTGGATGGATATTATGGCTTCTCAAATAAAGGATGTGAATGTAAGTTTAGAAAATTTTTTATAGAGTCAGTTTAATTATTTACTGATACAAATAAAACATTTTGATTTATTTAGGGTGTGGATGTAACATATATGGTTCAGAAAGTCATCTTTGTGATGAAACTTCAGGACAGTGCATTTGTCGATCTCATGTTTATGGAAGAACTTGTGATAGTTGTGAGGTTTGATAAATAATATTTCTATTCTATAATTAAAATTTTATTTTAGAATAAAAAGTTTTTGAAAATACAGTGCACTCTTGCTAATCGGAATCTATACTAATTTGAACTCTGCTTAGACCATACTGTTTGTTTTGTCACAAATGTTTCAGCCAAAAGCAAAAAAATAATCACAAATTATTTTTTAAAAACATGATGAATTTATAAAATTAATTTGTACTATATATTTTATCAAAAATATATATATCAAAAACATGATAAAAAGTTTTTAAATATTAAGAGTAATAGGTAACTACAGAAGCATATTTGCCTTGCTGTTACAATTTTTAGACAAGTCACCTTTCTGTTTTTTAATTAACAATTAGTGCTCAGCAATTTCTCATCCTCTAATGAATATGTAATAGTGAAAAATAATGAAATAATGAGATGTTTATAAAATAAGCAATATACAGTTAAAGATTAGAAATTAAAAGATAAAATAAAAGAAAAATTAAATAAAAATAAAATACACTAAGAGTAAATGTACATATTAAAATCACAAATGTGAAAACAACAACATTTAAATTTAACAATTTTAAGCTCATAATACTGCTCACAGCTGGTACTGTCCAAATTTAGGCCAAACAGTAATGAAGTAATTCTTCAGATAGTTTGATGGTGATCTTGCCTCTCTTGAGGTCTTTTTTTATGTTCCTTTATTCTGGTTTCTAATGTCCAGTAAGTACTGCATACATATGATCTAACCTCCTTTGTTCTTTGAGATAACTGGAATTTTGAATTTTGTACATACATACTTTTTTCATAGTGGAAATTTGTCTTTATTGTTTTTTATTAAGTTTTAGAGAATTGACTGATGAATTGTAGTAAGTTGAAAATTCTCCTTTTTAAAATATTTTCAAACCAATCTTGTAGTGACTTTTTATAAACACCAAAGCTATACTTAACTGGGATCAAACCATCTTTGTCATACTTGATGCAAGACACTTTCCCATCAGAACTTCAGAAGATTTAGTGATCTCCATGACAGTTGATGCTACTCTTTATCATAAATAACAGAAAAGAGAACATTCTCCTTGATCTATGGATATGGTTCATAAATTCAATGACTGACAAATAACTTCAGAATTATTTCAAATAATGAACAGACTGGTTTCTTTGCAAAAAGTCTTATCCTTATGCTATCAAATTCAATGCTATATATAACATTTGATTCAAATTTGAACAGCCATAGCCATGAGCAGTGTTTATAACACTGCTCATAGCTGTGAATTTAACAATTTTATAAATTGTTAAATTCAGACATAGGTGTTGGTCCTCACACCTAAGATTTTATTATATATATTTACTCATTGTATTTTATTTTTATTTGGTTTACTTTTATTTCTAATCTTAAAAAGTATATATTGAATATTTTAGACTGTTTAAATAAGCCTCTCCAATTTTTGAATGTACATTTATATATTTTAATATTTATTATATTTAAAACAAAAACAAAAAAAAACTGTTCTAGAATTTCTTGTCCTAATTTATTTTTCATTAGATGAATATGTTTCTTAATAATAATGAACATACATTAATAAATAAAAAGTGATTTCTGTATATTTTTGTCATGTAATAGATATAAAGAATTAGAAGAAAACTTTTATTACTCAAACTACAACTTTTAAATTGTTAGTTTATTATATGATTTATTATTAAATAAACTAATTCATGATCAACTAGCAAGATTACTAGGACAAGATACTGTATATTCAAAATGATATCAATACTTTATTGAAATACCAAATACTAAACATGTTTTAGTTGAAACAATTCTTCATAATTAAATCATTTATATTGAATAATTAATATAAAGAAATTGAATAATTTTTGTTAATTTAGGATGAATATTGGAATTTGATTTCTGAAAAAGGCTGTGAATATTGTTCCTGTAATAAAACAGGATCAACATCACCTTCATGTGATCCTATTTATGGAAATTGTGAATGCAAACCTGGAGTAGGTGGTCAATTTTGTGATCACTGTTTGCCAGATTATTATGGATTTTCAGAAAATGGATGTTCAGGTATAAACATATAATAAATTTAAAAATGTATTTGTAAAATGTAAATAATATATATGACAGAAGTGTGAAAAATAACATGCTTGTTTTCTGTCTTGATTTAACTTGCTGAGAATTGGACAAATCTCAAATTTTTAGACTATTGCTTGGTAATATGTTGAATTCATATCTTATGGTGTCTATTTCCAATAATAAATCTAATATTAAAGCTATTTCATTATAATTGATAATTAGAGCTTAGGACATCTAGGCACTAAGAAATCATATAAATGGTTATAAAAATTTATGCGTGATAACTTATATAATTTTTATAACTATTTATATGATTTATAATAACTTCTGTTATATGAGAGCAGTTAGACAGAAATTATAGATGAATCATTACAAACTACAAGATGTTCTCACTTCCAAGTGTTCCAGTATGTGCAATACTTAATGTGTGAAGAACTTGATGACTGTACCTTAATTTCAGTCCTGTTTTTGTTCTCCCTTTTTTTACTGTTGTAGAACTCTCTTTGATGTGCTATGCTATTCTAAAAAGAGCTCGTTCCTTCAATATATATATACAGTAGAGTCGTTTATCCGAATCAATTGGGGACTGGGGTGGTTCGGATAACTTATTTTTCGGATAATGAATCATGTACGAAAAAATATATTAATTTATCCCATGTTGAAATTTTTCTCCATTGCGTGTCACTTCGCGTTGAATTTTCGTTGATGTTAAGCCTAACGAAGACTATTGTATCGTTAAAAATTATTTTTTTATTTTGTACAAACAAAATAAATATATTGAAAAATATAAAAACAATAAAAAATTATACTTCAGATGTTAATTTAGTATCAAAAACGTAAAATTTTTCAGTAACCCAAGAAATAGCTGAAGATTGCAGCGCCACAGCACTAGCGAAAATTTAAATTTGCCGACTGGAATGCTTTCGGATAACAGACGTTTCGGGTCCCAGCTTTCGGATAAGTGACGCTCTACTGTATATATTATATATGTCCTAGTGGTGTGCAATCCTTGGGATAAAGAATTCCTTTCTTCATGTTTTCACATGTGCTTTCTCCTTGATCACTAGTCATCCTTGAACGCTCTCCATAGCTAACTCTCTGGCAAGGTCCAAAGAGAAGAAGATCCAAAGAAAAAAGATGGCCATCATACAATTTTCCTCATTCTTATATCCATGTAGTCATCATCTTTACTTTTCTACCAATCAGAATGTGTTCTGAACCTTGATGGTTAGACCTATTCGGATGCATACCTAATGGTATAAGACTGTTATGGCCTACAGCAACAAGCATGCAAGAGGTGTTACAAAACCTCTGAGAGAGAATATTACAAATAAACAACACAAATATGGGACTAAAGTACAATATAGATTTTATTGCTTAGATGTCCTAACTCTACTGATAACATGCTAAACATATTGCAATTTGTTTTTTATAAATCTCTGTTAAAATAATCAGTTTTATAGAAAGTAACAGAAAATTTAATAGTTAATGACAAATTAATACTTAAAGAAAAAATCTTTCTTTCCATCAACATTAATTAAAATTGAAAAAGTTTTGATACTTAACAAGTACTTTTATTGGTACAGTGAAACTAAGAAACTTCATTTAGCTGTACCAATATAATGCAAGATGTTTGCACATGGGTAGTACATAATAAATTTCTTAGATACTGTTAGTTTTATATGTATTAGCTACATTAATCATGGTCATGGATTGCTAGCATTTATTTTTAGCTATTTTATGCATCATAAACACTGGTGTTTTATTTTATTTTTATTTCATTGTTTATTTATTTAAATATTTTGTTTTCAATAATTTTAACTTTGTAACATACTATTCTTTTATTCACTTGAAAATAGCAATTGTAATTTGTGAAGTGTTAAACTTGTAAATTTTAAATGAATGAGTTTTTTTTTAATTTAAACAAAACAAATTTTATTGATCTTCTATTAATATATGTTAAACTGAATATTTAAAATAAAATTTTACATTCATTTAATGGTAAAAATTGAATATATTTTACAGAACATCTAATTCAATATTTAAAATTTTATGAATAAATATGAATTCTTTACTTATTCACTTAGTAAATTACTTAATAGTTTTATCAATTTGTTCTTTACTTTTGAATTTACTTAAAATCAAATGAAAATTTTATAAAATAATTAAATTAAAAAAATATTTAATAAATAACATAATTCATGATTTATTAATTTAATTTATTTTAAAAAGATCAGAGAGGAAATAAACAAATTTTAAATATTATAGTTTAAAACATATCTAAGTAGTTTAGAAAATAAAATTTATGGAATAATTTTTTTTAGAATGTCAGGAATGTGAAATAACTGGATATGTATGCGATTCAATCACAGGAGAATGTCTATGCCCTCCTCACACTACTGGAAAAAATTGTGAAACATGTCTTCCATTGTTTTGGGGCTATGATGCTAAATTTGGATGTAAGGTAATTTAATTTTATTGTATTATTAATTTTTTTTATAAAATTTTCTTTTATAAAATTCAATTTTGATTTAAATATAGTTTCTTACAGAATATAATTGTTTTTAATTTTATATGGACAAAGAAAAATTAAAATGATTTACATTATGACATAGAGTGTAATCTGGCATATTTTTCTCTAATTGAAAATTCTTTTTATAAAGATAATTTAAAAATTTTTAAATTTGAAAATATATGTTAAAAATGAATTTAAAGGATTATATTAGAGATGCATATCCAACTGAATTAATGATGATAGCATTAATTAATCTAAATTCATTTCAAATGTAATTATTTTAGGAGTAGATATAACATTAATTTATTTTAATATTAGCATATTTTAAGCATTGTTGCAAAACAACAATAATGTATAAATTAAGATAAAACTGATGCAAGAATGATTCAAAGTATTTAATTTTTTCTTTTATTTCTAATTTAATATATGGAAGGGAAAAAATCTAACTATGATTAAAATATCTTTCTATTATTTTGAAAATCATTATTTAAAACTTATTAGCTTCATTATGAAAGCCATTTATAATAATTATGCATTTAGTTAATTTTCTCTTCAAGACTATTTTTGTAGAATCGTATATCATGACATCATCTGTATGAATAAGTATATAAATTGTAAGACTAAATTAGGTTAGATATAACATTAATTGTTTTTATTAATTAATTTTAATGTAACATTATTAATTTGTATTTCATTATCTGGACTAAAAATTTTGTCAATATAAAATAGAAAAAAGTTAAATAAGTAGGAAAACAGTTAGATCACCCTATTATAAAATTCTTTTAGTTAAAAAAAAATGAAATTGAAAACTAGATTGTTTGGTTATTTATTTATAAGTTTTAAATACTTTTGAAACTTACATAATTAAATTAGCCTTATACAGTAGAGCGTCGTTTATCCGAAGGTTGGTTATTCGAAACGTCTGTTATCCGAAAGAATTCCAGTCGACAAATTTAAATTTTCGCCAGTGCTGTGGCGCTGCAAATGCTTGCAATCGATGAAAATTCAACGCGAAGCGACACGCAACGGAGAAAAATTTCAACACGGTATAAATTCATATATTTTTTCGTACATGATTGGTTATCCGAAAAATAAGTTATCCGAACAACCCCAGTCCCCAATTGATTCGGATAAACGACGCTCTACTGTATATACATATGAGATTTTTTCAATTAGTGTTTCTCTAGAAATTGAACTATCATAGAAATTTTTTCTAACACCAAAACTACCATAGATATTTTGTTTTTTTTTTAATTGGTGAAGTTGGATAATAAGGATAATATATGAAATGTGTAAACCTTACAAAGAGAACATTGCTATTTGAAAGTCATGTAACACTTAGTACTAACATTTATTTGATAGTTAAACATATACTATTTACCACCTAAGAGGATATTTCTCTATGTTCAATATTTCTATTTTTTCAGAAAAAAGTAATACATGGACTATTTAATGAGTGGAGTTAAGGTGAAAAGCTGATTGGCAGTGATGTTATTGTGTTAAGACAAAATGTTTTGTTGTAAGGCAATGACATCACTGCTAATGAGCTTTTTACACCACTCCTCTTGTCAAATAGTCCATGTATTACTTTTTTTTATGAAAAAATAGAAATATTGAACATAGAGAAATATCCTCTTAGGTAGTAAATAGTATGTTTAACTACCAAATAAATGTTAGTACCAAGTGTTACATGATTTGCATGTAGCAACATTCTCCTTTTCAGTTCAACTATACTAAACAAAAGCAAATTAATGTTTTGAATAATATAAACAGCACTTTGGAATTTCGAATAATGATTATTTATAATCAATTGCTTACATTTTTTAAGCAATAAAAGTAGTATAAGTTTCATTTAATTAGATAAGACAGAATGATGTTTGGCATCATCATTGTCTTTTGAATAAGATTGGTTTTGAATTTGAATATCTAATTAGATAATACTATCAATTCATAATTATCAGGATTAAGTTACATTAGTTAGTTGGTTAATTAAATATGAATTTATTATTTTTTCATATATTACTTGAAAATCAACTGTATTTCAATCTTTCAATGTTATAGCATTTGAAATTTTACCATTTATTTTTAAGAAATTTAAACAGAGCAATAGTATATCAATAACATCATTTGATAGTTCCTTCAGAAATTCAACACTAATATTATGATACTGTATGTAGAAGCAATATGATGGTCTTTCATCTTTTCAATTTATTTTTGTAAATTTCTATTATTAAATTTTCATGTTCATCTAAATAAAAGTATGATTCACTTTATCCAAAATTATTATAATTTCATACCAATAATACATGGATTATGTTGTTATGGATTTGTAATTGAAATAAGATTAAAGTTTGTCAGATATGAGTCTGAAATCTTTTGCATTTTAAAATACAGAAAACTTAAATAATAATGATATTAAATAGAATAAGATGACAATTGTTCTACTTTTATATATGAAAGTTTTTATTTAGTTACAGAAAAATTTTTTATTTGTAGTTTAATTATTCTTACTGCAAGTAAACAATAATAGAAATATTTTTTTGCACTTTAAAAATTTTAAAAAACAAAAAAAAAATTACATTTTCTTTTTTTCCATAATCATTATATTTATTACAATTTCAGCCTTGTAATTGCAATCCTTCTAGCTCACATAAAGAAGAATGTGATCCCCTCACAGGAAAATGTTTATGTTTAGAAGGATATGAAGGTCGAGCATGTGACAAATGTCATTTTGCTTATTATTCATTTCCAAATTGTTTGCCTTGCAATTGTGATATAGATGGAACTGTTCCTACTATGTGCAATAGTGATGGATTCTGCCAATGTGATGAAAATGGCCAATGCCCATGCAAAGTAAGGATTCAATTTTTCATATATACAGTAAAACCTGTCCAAAATGGAAACTGAATAAAACAGAAACCCAACTAAATGGAAAACATTTTTCAGAACAGAGTAATTTTCCATATTTAAAAAAAACCTGTTTAAAGTGGAAACCTGACAAACTGGAAAAAATATTTGGTACCATGCAATTCCAGTTTATGCAGGTTTTACTGTATTTGTTTCATAATAATTTTATTTTCATTTTACATTTTATAATAATTATGCATTTAGAATATTATCTCTTCAAGACTATTTTTGTAGAATCGTATATCATGACATCATCTGTATGAATAAGTATATAAATTGTAAGACTAAATTAGGTTAGATATAACATTAATTGTTTTTATTAATTAATTTTAATGTAACATTATTAATTTGTATTTCATTATCTGGACTAAAAATTTTGTCAATATAAAATAGAAAAAAGTTAAATAAGTAGGAAAACAGTTAGATCACCCTATTATAAAATTCTTTTAGTTAAAAAAAAATGAAATTGAAAACTAGATTGTTTGGTTATTTATTTATAAGTTTTAAATACTTTTGAAACTTACATAATTAAATTAGCCTTATACAGTAGAGCGTCGTTTATCCGAAGGTTGGTTATTCGAAACGTCTGTTATCCGAAAGAATTCCAGTCGACAAATTTAAATTTTCGCCAGTGCTGTGGCGCTGCAAATGCTTGCAATCGATGAAAATTCAACGCGAAGCGACACGCAACGGAGAAAAATTTCAACACGGTATAAATTCATATATTTTTTCGTACATGATTGGTTATCCGAAAAATAAGTTATCCGAACAACCCCAGTCCCCAATTGATTCGGATAAACGACGCTCTACTGTATATATATATGAGATTTTTTCAATTAGTGTTTCTCTAGAAATTGAACTATCATAGAAATTTTTTCTAACACCAAAACTACCATAGATATTTTGTTTTTTTTTAATTGGTGAAGTTGGATAATAAGGATAATATATGAAATGTGTAAACCTTACAAAGAGAACATTGCTATTTGAAAGTCATGTAACACTTAGTACTAACATTTATTTGATAGTTAAACATATACTATTTACCACCTAAGAGGATATTTCTCTATGTTCAATATTTCTATTTTTTCAGAAAAAAGTAATACATGGACTATTTAATGAGTGGAGTTAAGGTGAAAAGCTGATTGGCAGTGATGTTATTGTGTTAAGACAAAATGTTTTGTTGTAAGGCAATGACATCACTGCTAATGAGCTTTTTACACCACTCCTCTTGTCAAATAGTCCATGTATTACTTTTTTTTATGAAAAAATAGAAATATTGAACATAGAGAAATATCCTCTTAGGTAGTAAATAGTATGTTTAACTACCAAATAAATGTTAGTACCAAGTGTTACATGATTTGCATGTAGCAACATTCTCCTTTTCAGTTCAACTATACTAAACAAAAGCAAATTAATGTTTTGAATAATATAAACAGCACTTTGGAATTTCGAATAATGATTATTTATAATCAATTGCTTACATTTTTTAAGCAATAAAAGTAGTATAAGTTTCATTTAATTAGATAAGACAGAATGATGTTTGGCATCATCATTGTCTTTTGAATAAGATTGGTTTTGAATTTGAATATCTAATTAGATAATACTATCAATTCATAATTATCAGGATTAAGTTACATTAGTTAGTTGGTTAATTAAATATGAATTTATTATTTTTTCATATATTACTTGAAAATCAACTGTATTTCAATCTTTCAATGTTATAGCATTTGAAATTTTACCATTTATTTTTAAGAAATTTAAACAGAGCAATAGTATATCAATAACATCATTTGATAGTTCCTTCAGAAATTCAACACTAATATTATGATACTGTATGTAGAAGCAATATGATGGTCTTTCATCTTTTCAATTTATTTTTGTAAATTTCTATTATTAAATTTTCATGTTCATCTAAATAAAAGTATGATTCACTTTATCCAAAATTATTATAATTTCATACCAATAATACATGGATTATGTTGTTATGGATTTGTAATTGAAATAAGATTAAAGTTTGTCAGATATGAGTCTGAAATCTTTTGCATTTTAAAATACAGAAAACTTAAATAATAATGATATTAAATAGAATAAGATGACAATTGTTCTACTTTTATATATGAAAGTTTTTATTTAGTTACAGAAAAATTTTTTATTTGTAGTTTAATTATTCTTACTGCAAGTAAACAATAATAGAAATATTTTTTTGCACTTTAAAAATTTTAAAAAACAAAAAAAAAATTACATTTTCTTTTTTTCCATAATCATTATATTTATTACAATTTCAGCCTTGTAATTGCAATCCTTCTAGCTCACATAAAGAAGAATGTGATCCCCTCACAGGAAAATGTTTATGTTTAGAAGGATATGAAGGCCGAGCATGTGACAAATGTCATTTTGCTTATTATTCATTTCCAAATTGTTTGCCTTGCAATTGTGATATAGATGGAACTGTTCCTACTATGTGCAATAGTGATGGATTCTGCCAATGTGATGAAAATGGCCAATGCCCATGCAAAGTAAGGATTCAATTTTTCATATATACAGTAAAACCTGTCCAAAATGGAAACTGAATAAAACAGAAATCCAACTAAATGGAAAACATTTTTCAGAACAGAGTAATTTTCCATATTTAAAAAAACCTGTTTAAAGTGGAAACCTGACAAACTGGAAAAAATATTTGGTACCATGCAATTCCAGTTTATGCAGGTTTTACTGTATTTGTTTCATAATAATTTTATTTTCATTTTACATTTTATAATAAAAAGTATTCTCCAATCTTTTACAGATAAAGTATGGTAGAATAGCTTTTATAATGAAAGAAGCATAAATTTCTTATTTTTTTGATAGTAACAAGAGTGGAAAAATTTCTAATGAGAATTTTAATAATATAAAATAGTTTGAATGAAGATGTAGAGATCATTTAATTATAAATGTAACTTAAACTCTAGTTATACCAAAGTTTAAGTTCATTGTATATAGTCTATTTTATTTAAGAGTTTAATAAATTAATTAACTTCAGAAAATATAGTTTCTAAATGAATATTTTGAACTGTTGTTCTGATAGCAGATTTTATAATTATATTTTTGATTGCTTTAGAAATGTATTTTTAAATTCATTTAATATTTCTTATTGCAGTTATAATAAACTGAAAGTAATAATAGGACTGTAAAAATATACAAATAATGCTGATTCACAATATAGCTTTAAGCTATAATCTATAATAATCTTATAATCACAATTAATCAACTAATTACAAATCTCTATAAATTCATATTTTTTTCTGAAAAAGAAAGCATGAATTTTTAATTAAAGGACTTCTGTTGATGCTAATTTTTGGAAAAGACAGAATTGTTGAGAATTTCCATATTGTTAAAAATGCTAAATATTCGTGTCGGCCCGGGTTGAATTTTCGTTGATGCGTAACAAAAAGTTCCTGTTTTTGAAAAAGATAATCGTGGCTATTGTATCGTTTGAAATTATTTTTTTATTTTGCACAAACAATATACAGTTTAACCCGATTATAATGTCATCGAATGTAACAACAACCCTAATATAACATCAGATTTTTATTGATCCTATGATTTTACTATACTAGATAATGCTTAAAAAAGCCCACTTGTAATGACATAAAACCATTTTAACATCATATTTGACGCACTTCCAAATTTACAAAATTAGATTACAAATTTTATTTAACATAGAAGAAACTACGTGTTCAGTCCTAAGGTCAGAGTTCACTTCTTAGAATGACTGTGGATGGTACTCTCTCCTACCCGACTTTGGTGGGGTGAGGTGGCTGTTTTGCCTGTTTGTAGAAGAGGGTCGCCATTTTGTATTTTATTTTGACTCGATTCTTGGTCCCCTGACTACCTACGAGTCTGGATTTTTTATGCGCAAATGATTTGGACACCTAATACTCTGTGCTAAATATCAACTCTCGACATGTACTCCTTCATACCTCTATGCTGGTAAGAATGAGTGGCAGTACAATTTTATAAACAAGACATAGTCTTGTCAATAAGTCAAATAAGAAAGAAATTATTATAGAAGAAATATATTCAAAGGAAGAAATGAAGTCATTTCTTCNAATATCAACTCTCGACATGTACTCCTTCATACCTCTATGCTGGTAAGAATGAGTGGCAGTACAATTTTATAAACAAGACATAGTCTTGTCAATAAGTCAAATAAGAAAGAAATTATTATAGAAGAAATATATTCAAAGGAAGAAATGAAGTCATTTCTTCCTTTGAATATATTCTGTATTTGACTTACTGAACTCTTAAGAACTAATTGGGCTCAAAAATTTTCTTAAATATATTTTTCTGTTTTAGGAAGAAAAAAATGGTTCAATGTTTCATAAAACAATAACATTTTTAATATCATTTTACATCACACTATCTTTTATTTCAGTTTAATTTACTTTATAATTTATATATTTATTCCCTATATTTAATTTTATGGCTTGTTTTTACTTGGCATTTTTCAATAATTATCAATATAATTCAAATAATTTCTATCGTATTTCTGTTGAGAGGACTTCCCTTCATAATAATAATAATAAATAAATATTATTATTATGTTGGGTTTTGTGAGTTATACTCAGTTCACACTGGTGGCTCTGTACTATGCTGGACCAGAGTCAAGGCATAGCAACCAAAACAAAACTAAAATTAAATAAGTGTGTCAGTGTGTGTGTCTGTATTCAGGAATTTCCTCACAATGTGGCATGTATTCAATATAGTGGCCTTCTGTAGTGTGATGTATGTATTTCTACTCAATTGTAATGTTCCCAGGCTTTTGTGTAGTGTGTATGGTATCACACCTGTACAGGAGAGAACGACAGGTACAATAAGCACCCTTTCCATCCTCCACAGATGCCTTATTTCCTGGGCAAGTTCTGTGTACTTGCTAATTTTTTCAGTGCATGTGTTTTGTACATTGTGGGTGTTTGGAATGGCTATGTCTATAATGTATGTGATTTTATTGTGTTTGTCAATGAGTGTGATGTCTGGTCTGTTGTGATAAATTGTTTTATCTGTGATTATGGCTCTGTCGTAGTACATTTTGTGCGTGTTGTTTTCCAATACTGTCTGTGGAATATACTTGTAGTATGGTTCGTGGATGTCTGCCAATTTGTGTTTCTTTGCAAGCTCTTGGTGTATTATATTTGCTACTTGATTGTGTCTATGTAAGTAATCTGTCTGTGCCAAGAGCTTGCAACCAGAAGTGATGTGTTGTATAGTTTCTGGCATGATGTGACATTTTCTGCATGTGTCATTTGTGAGTGTTGTATCTTTGAGTATGTGTTTTCTGTAGTTTTTAGTATTTATGACCTGATCCTGTATGGCAATCATGAATCCTTCCGTCTCCCCAAAGAGGCATCCCCGATCTAACCAGCTGTTTGACGCAGTTTTGTCAACAAAATCCTGGGCCAGGTCATAAGGATGCCTGCCATGGAGTGCCTTTCGAGCCCACGATTGCTTGATGGTGTCTATGCTTTTTATGTGTTGTGTCATGTCTGTATGATGTGAGTGTAAGTTTAATGGTGTGTTATTTGAGTCTGCTAGAGTTACTGCTTTATGTAACTGTGATGTTTCTTGTTTCTTGTAGAAAAACTCTCGCAGTGACTGTATTTGTTTGTAGTGAAGGTTAACTATGTCAATCAGGCCACGTCCGCCTTCTTTACGTGGAAGGGTTAATCTTTCTGTGGCGGATTTAGGATGATGTTGTTTATGCTTAGTAAGTGTTGTTCTTGTTTTCCTTTGGAGTTGCTCGAGATCTGTGTGAGTCCAATGTATAACTCCAAAAGAGTATGTGAGTACTGGGATGACATATGTGTTTATTGCTTTAACTGTGTGTTTTGCATTTAACTGTGTTCTAAGTATAGCGTTTAACCTACTTTGGTATTCTTTAATTAATCGTTGCTTTATTTGTGTATGTTCTGTTAGTTTGGCCTGTTGGAATCCTAAGTACTTGTAGAACTCGCCCTCTTCCATGGATTCAATAACGTCTCCATTTCCAAGTGCAAAATCTCCTTTCTTCAGGATTCCTTTTTCTATGTGAAGTTTTTCGCATTTGTCTAAGCCATTTGTATGTCCTTAGTGTATGAGTGTGTGATTTGTAGGAGTTGATGAAGTTGTTTCTGTGTGGACGCATAAAGTTTTATGTCATCCATGTACATGAGATGTGACAGTGTAAACTGTGTTGTTTTTTCATGTCTGATATTGTAGCCATAATGTGTGTTGTTTAACATGTTGGATAATGAGTTCAGGGCTAGGCAGAACCAGAGAGGACTCAAGGAATCTCCTTGAAAAATTCCTCACCTAATGAATATTTCATTTGTTTGTATGGAAGTGTTACTAACCCTGAGATGAAGTGTTGTTCTTCAGTGCTGCATAGTGTTTTCGAAGAATGCAATGAGTGATGGATGTATTTTGTACAGTACATGTGTAGAATATGTAGCAGCCAACTGTGTGGAACACTGTCGAATGCTTTTCTGTAGTCTATATATGCCATGTGTATGTTTCTGTGTTGTTTGTGTGCTTGTCGTAGAATGACTGAATCTATGAGTAATTGTTCTTTGCATCCCTTGTGATTTCTACGGCAACCTTTTTGTTGTTCTGTAAGAATGTTGTGTTCTTCTACGTGTTTGTATATTTTGTTTGTGATACAGGATGTCAATAATTTGTAGAGTGTTGGAAGGCATGTAATTAATCTGTATTGTGTGGGATCTGTGGTGTTGTTGTGTTTAGGTTTCATATAGGTGATGCTGAGTAAGAAATTTTGGCATGTCTTGTGGATTGATGATGATGTGTGTTAGATGTTTAGCTAGTTCCTGGTGCAGTGATGTAAACTTTTTGTACTAGAAATTGTGAATGTTGTCTACACCAGGTGTCTTTCAGTTGTGTGTTCTGTTAACAGCGTAGTGGATGTCGTGTACATTTATTTCAGCACAAAATTTGAATTTTTAATTTTTATAAAATGATTATTTTTTATTTCAGAAAAATGTTATAGGATTTAAATGTGATGAATGCAAAGCTGGAACATTTAGTTTGACATTTAATAATAAAGAAGGCTGCTTAGAATGTTTTTGTTTTGGCAGAAGTACAGAATGTGAAGAAGCATATATGGTTTGGTCTCAGGTATTTCTTTATATTTATATAAAATATACTTATAATAATTAATTTTTAATTTTATTTTTGAAAAATTGGTAGAAACTTCTACATTTTGAATATAAAAAGAATAAACAAACAATCTAAATAAAAGAAAAATAAATGTATATTTTCTACAAGTGAACATATTGATGAAATTTTGATTATAAATGAAAAAATTGCAATGTAATTTTTATATTTAAAAAAATTAGTATGGTTAGTTTTGTAAATGACAAAAATTATATATTGAAGTTTTGTTTCCATGTGAGCACCCAATGATATTTGTCCTGAACTAAACTTTACCTCAGTGTCTGTAGAGGTGTTGATCTGATCACCCCGTGGACAGATCTACTCTACAAAAGTATTTGATAGATTGAAAAAATTAAGACTGCTAGAGATTAGAAGAAGGCTTTTTATCATTGACTTCTGATTTTGTAGTTTATAATGTTTTGGTTGTTAATACTTAAAATTCAATTCCAAATTTTAAATTTTTATAAATTATTTTCATACTTAATAGAAGACTTGCCTATCTGATATAAAATACCTTAACAAATATAGTATCATTATACAATTTTACAATTTTAATTTTTAACAGATTACAGGGTTAAACAGAAAGCTGGTTTTAGAGTATGGAAATACTCAACTATCTCTTCTCTATGGACTTTATGTGATACCTGGTCATAGGGGAAATATTCGGATTGGAGTTCTTGGAAATATTAAACAACCACTATATTGGATGTTACCTCAGGAATACCTAGGTGATAAAGTATGAAAATTTTTCTTGTCTTAATTATTTTTTCATTAATGCATCAAGTCTTAGTTAAGTTAGAAAAGTGAGTTAGTTGATCAGCTAATTCAATAAATTCTGTTTACACAACTTGAAAAGAATTTAGATCTGAAAAGATCAGATGTATAAGTTGCAATAAATTATTTATTGAATTAGTTTATTTGTGAGTTGTACAAATTTACTTGTATTGTTTTTAGGGAATAACACAACTTTATTAAAATTAAAATTTATATTTTTTACTGAAGGTAAGGTATTTATATAATCACTTCAATCAATTTTATTGAAAATGTAATTAAAATCAGTGATATTCTGGGTTAATAATATTAGGTGAGGCAGAACTGTTTGAAATTTCTGATAATTCTTATCTCCAAAATGGTTGTGGGTATGGCAGGAAACCACCAGCATCTTGAATGAAATTATGGAAAAGATTTGATTTATTCAAAACTTTTTGAAAATGAAGAGTTTTTTTATTGTCAAGGTATGAACAGCAAACATCAGCCTATTTTTCAGTAATTAAGGGATTAATGTCCAGTTTCATGAAAATCTGGTTAACTTCAGTTGGAAATTAACAAGAAATGTGCACTTAATTATTTTGCACAAAAAACAATAATAAAACCTACCAATAACAAAACTTTGAAATGTTAATGTTTTCAAAGTTTCTTGTCCTATTCAATTGTTGTACTTCTTAATACTCACAACTTGACAAACTGTATGATAAGTCCTACATTTGTCAAGTTGTAAAATTTAAGAAGTACAGATATGGAAATTTTAATTAATGAAATTTGAAATATAAGTTACAAAGGTACAAAATATGATTCATGAATATTAATTAATTAAGGCTATTACATTTAAAGGAATACTTTTATATTCATCATGATTTATGACTCACTTTATAATTTGGTTCAATTAACACTTAACACAGTTAGCAGTTCACTCTTTACTTAATCATCCTTCAAACTTCATAGCTTTCTAGTTTCACAGCAACAATAGTCACAGCAAATTGTTACAGAAGAATCTCATTTTAATGGATTGCTCGAGCAACCAAAAATTATCCATTATTCTGAGAATCTGTTATATTGCAAACAACAGATTTCCGACACATCCAGGAAAATATCTATTATTTAAAAAATTTCTATTTTTTTAATTCCTATATATAAGAAATACCATACTTGAAATTATTCAGTTTCTTGAAATCTCTATTCTTTATCCTATAGAAACACATATGTTTGTAACATATGAGCATATTATATCGTATATGATTGTATATTATGCCATACATCTGTACGACAAAGCTGACAAAAACTGTACATACTGTAAGCATAAAAAGAGGCAAATTACATATGCTCATTAGAACTTTGCTTGACTTCATGATTTGTTAAAAAACTCATCCATCTTGGTTTCTTTTAATGCCACTTTTCTGTATATTGAATACAACACTACTTGATATTAGCAATGTCATGTACAGTACAGCCTGTTTATCTATGCTGAAACTTGTCAGGAAGGTTTTCGTGATTTGGAAATACAGGTAGGCCTCCTACAACGCGGTATCTTTACAATGCGTTTTCGCTCCAACGCGGTTGGAAAAATGCAGAAATTTTCTTACAACACGGTTTACGGTATTTAGAAACGAATTATCTTCACATAACAGAAAAATCGCAACGGATTACGTGATACGAGCCGCAGTTCGGCATATTGAGCTAGAAGTCTTTGAAAACAGCTGTTTGTGGATGTTGGCATGTTATTCCCTTGAAAGTTTCAGGGAAAGACCGGTTTCTAGACCGATGTGAATCAGTTACTGTAAACACTCAAATATATAACTGAATTTTTTATCATTTATACTCTTTCAATAAGTGGGGACCACAAAAATGGTCCAAAATACAGTATAAACTTCTATTGGGTGTATATTTTTAACAACATAGTGAAAGGAAGTTATTTTTTGCGATTTTTACTGTCCACAAAACTGATTGAAAAATTTTTAGCCATAACAATGCTGAATGAAAAGAAAGAACCATCGTTAAAAGGGAAATTTATAACTCTTCAAACAAAGATAGAAATTTTGGATCGAATTAAATATCAAGAGCGGATAGCTGATATCGGTAGGCATTTTAATTTAAATGAGTCGACGATTCGGTCGGGAGAAAAGATCAGAAATTTGGTCACATCCAGATCATCTATTCTTGCAAAAAATGTTGCTCGTCGGAGAGCACCTATAATGGAAAAAATGGAACAAGCGCTAATATTATGGGTAGAAGATATGAACAAGAAACGGTTGCCTTTAAATAAAACTGCACTTAAACACAAAGCCTTAAAATATTTGATTATTTAAAACAAATGGGACAGTCGTCAGCTGATGAAACCAGTGTTAAATTCGTGGCTAGCAATGGCTGATTTGAAAAACTCAAAAAACGCCATTCAAACGCCAAGTTTTCTCTTTTTAGAACTGAATCCCAGTTTTTGTATTAAGTTGGTGTCTCCTATAACGCGATTTCCCACAATGCAGTATTTTCAAGGAACGTATCTACTGCGTTGTAGGAGGCCTACCTGTACTTGATGGCCTTGTTAAATTTCGGCACTACACTTGGACCAATGACAGTGTTCATTAGGTGACCCCTCCTCAATCATATTAGTTGGCTGACTTTCTTTTGTACAATTCTTAAATTGTATATATCCCTTTTAATAAAAAGTAAAACATCTGGATACGAGTCCAATTTTTTTTCCCATGTCTAATCACCAGGAACAACTATTTCCATTGCAGAGACAACCTTTCTTTAGAGGCTATGCCTCTGCACAAATATGTATATATCCCAAATGTAACAAGTCAAACTCTATAAATTTCCTGGAAACAAATATCCCAAATATTAACTAAACGTTGAAAAAAATGTAAAGTTTACAATAGATTTGGGGTAGAAAAAATCCATTATTCCAAGAAATCCATTCTACTATCTGTTAAAAAGAGATTCTATTGTATTTACAAATTGATGAATTACCTCATTTTTAGTGATGTGTATAATAGCATTTCTTTCACTGCTGATCATCAAGACATTATTTAATATTTTTTGGTTTATTGTGGACCTGATTCTAGTCTCTACTAATTCAAATTTTTAGAAACAATTTTCACACTTATCAAAACCAATTGAAAGAGTTGCTAGAATTCTATATAAATGAAACAGAAACAGAAAGAATAATTGAAGATTGCTCTGAGGTAAAAATTTGATTATAATTAAGTAAGAATCCTGTTGCATTGCATGCATACTATAGTGTTATGCAAGTCTGCATCTTCCAACATCAAAACTCTTCTGTAAAAAATGTCTTTTGCAGATCTCTGATGTGACCACCATTTAGCTGTTTGCACTTTCTACAATCTGATATTTCAAATTCTATCCCATTTTCTAGCTTCTAAAAGAGGCTTTTCTTGTTTGGCTATGAAAATAATGCATACAACTTATCTAGGGATCCAAAAAAGATACAACAATAGTCAAGTAACATGTCTCCATTATAATCAAGTTTGATATATGATTGAAAGATCTTGTATAGATGCAGCTAGGATTCATTTGTTGCATTTTTGTTTGGAATCCACTGTGAATTCCTCTCATTATTGCTGCCTTAACTGAAAACTGCCCAATTGCATTTTTTCGAATCAGTGTTGTTCAGTATTTCTGAAACAGAGCTGTTACTGTTAAAAATACTGCTGTTTCTGAGCCTTTGAATTCAGATACATAACAATCAGTGATGATTACACCTCACAGCTAGCATGTGAAAAAAAGTCAAGTCAATTAAAAATCTAAAATGTGGGAAATAGACAAAATGAACTCTTTAACTTTTAATTCTGTTGATGAATACTTCAGGCTCTGCCAGTTGAAAATCTGTCTTTATGTTCATCAACAGATCTTAAAAATAAAAAATAAAAACAAAACAGTAAATAAATTTTTAAGAAATTAAAAACAAAATTCTGTTGAAAAATATGTCTACAATACTTTTTACATCTACTATTGATTTATGAATTAATCATTAGTAGTTGCTCAGGCTGCCCTGGACAGAATGCCACTGATTAAAACAAAGTTATTTATATCAATATATATATATATTTTTTTAAATGTTTATTTTAAAAAAGAATATAAATAACTTTCTGTATAATGTTTATTTATATTAAATTCAATAATATTGTATAATATTGATAGAATCCAATGAAATGTTGATTCAGACTTTAAAAAAAAGCGTTTACACTTATAAACAGAATTGAACTGTTGCATGAGCTTTGTAAGCACCCAAAATTCAAGCTAAAGTATTTAATATGGTAGAGTTTTCCTGTAATATTCATCAAGGACATGATCTAATCAGAATTCCAAATAGCTTATATTTTGATGTCCATACCAAATTTGGTTGAGATTGGTAAATGTTTTTGGAGGAGTTTTTTAAATCCAATGACATTTGAAGGTAAATGAATGAGGTTTATTCACTCAGCTCAATATTATTATTTTTTAAGAAATGAATATAATACTGACAATGAGTTGTTTGAAATTTTTAATATTGAATTATTTTAAATTTACAATTTAGAATAATGAGTCAATATCAAATGCTGATGTATCAAATAAGGAAGATCAAAATATTGATTATTATATATAGAAATATCAAACATTAAAAATCAATATCATGTATCAGGGATGGCAAACTTATTTTATGCATATCAAAGTGGCAAGTTGAAAAAAATAACTGGCATATGACATAACATGTGATTTTATTTATTTTTACTGTATAAATGAAAAAATTATTTTAAGTTTTTTATTATGGTTTTATCTTTAGCTCAATATATCATCATTCTTTCTCAATCATCCTTTTTAAATTTATGCTAATTAAAGTAGACCACTTCATTTCTTTAAAAATAGTTGTTCTAAGTCTAAAACTTTGGCATGAATAAATTATTTCAAAAATAATTATACTACCTACTGCATGGCATGTGGATTCTAAAAGGTTTACTATCC